AGAAGGACCTCCAATTTCTCAAATTGCAGACATGCCCTTCCTTTTAAAATTACAACTTGACCCTTTAGAAAATAATTGCAGACAGGGGCCTCCAATTATTTTAATTGCAGAGGAACCCCCCGCCTCCAAACACTGCAACCCGAATGCGAACCCTAGAATTTCTCCCCAAATTTCTGAAGCAACTCTAAACACGAATAGCCGGCGCCTGTTCTTAGTTTTCAGGGCCGCCGACGCCTCCGCCATAGCAGCGCGTGGCGCTGCTATTCAATGTTACAACAGCACCGGCCTGGCGCTGCCAAACCGGCAGCAGCAGCAGCCGCCGCTGCTGCTGCTGCTGCCCCCTTCTATAGCTGGGCAGCGCCTGCGCTGCCCGTCGAGGCAGCTCCGATGGCTGCCCGGATTTCAGATCTATTCACATATTTTTTTTTATTAATCCGAAAATCAAATTTTCAAATTGCTAGAAAACAAGAAAAATATGTATAATCAACATTTGATTATTCAATCACGCAAATCAATTCCTAACAAATACAAAGTAGGCTCTGATACCACTGTTGGGAATCTACTTATACATGCACAGCGGAATTTAAAATCATTTTCGATTCCCACCAAAAATCGCCTTTGTGTTTAGATAGAAATTGTGACAAGATTGTACCTTTTTTCAGATCTGCAATCCTTTTTTACTTTTCTTTTCGTTCCATCAACCTTGATTCGCCACCACAGCTGTCCAATTGTCCAGCCTCCAACGGTGATCCACACAGAGAATAAGATTGTAGCTTCTAGGGTTTTCTCTTGTGCCAGCAAGAATAATGAAAATCTTATGGACCTCAAACCCTAGTTATGTATTTATATAAACCCAAACAGGCTCGGCCCGGTCCGGTCCAATAATTAACTAATCCAATTAATTAAACCTGGTCCGTGAATTAATTAATCCAATTAATTAATTCGGGAATATAAATAACAAATCCAATTAATTAATTTATCCAACGATTGTCAAATTAACCAATTGGCAATTTGCAATCTTCCAATTCTCTTTTGTGTGTGACCCATTAGGTTCCCGACGTGAAATATTATTTTGATCTAATCAAAATTGATAAATTAAAACACCCTTTTAATTTATCGTCAATTCACATTCGCCGTCCCTGATTGACATCTAGCAATGTGTCAGGGCAATACATGTGACGGGAAATGTCACGTGGTATGACAAAACCAAATTCGTTCGTTTACATTGAAAATATAATCCATTCGTCAATATGATCAGATCAATTACGAGATATGGAGTTGTGTCAATCTCGATCATCGATCATATCTTTCACTCCACTATTAAGTCAATATAAATCGAAAACTCCTTTTCGACTTATGAGTACACCTTGGCCAAGGATTCCATCATTGACTTAATTGAATGAAACACTAATCATAATCTCCTACTATCTAAGAGCGACGAATCCTTTATTGATCAATCACAACCTTCATACGATTCTTGACGTACCCGAACGATGTCGTATTAGAGGCCCTTTTCAGAGCAACATCCAACACCGCCAAAGTATGACTGTCCTCATATAAGGTACCATGACGACCTCAAGTTAAATGACCAATTTCACTACCGAACGTTAGAGATTAACCATCGACACTCAGATAGTTATCCACGTGGAATCTCTCGACGGGTCTCCAATGTTTTGTTCTATAACAAAACATCCATGTGTTCATTTAAGTGTCACCACACTTTAACTTGTGAGATCAACTACTTACTTCACAAGTAAGAAATGCCACACGTGATGGTCCATCCGTAATAACGATATCCGTATCTCGTTATTACTTACGATCACGGATGATTTAAGATTCAATCAGATGTAATTTGTATCTCACAATCACAATTCATTGTGATTAACAAATTACAAATATTTGAATCTACGGATTCTATTATTTATTTAATTGTCTATTAATTAAATAATAGATCTGCCATTTAATTGCATTAATTACATATAAAAGTATTTATGTCCAAAATTGATTGGATTTAGGGCATAATACTTACAATGTTATGCCTGTATCCCACAGTGACAAGCCAAGCAGGCTTCATGGCCACTTTGGGGGCGAGGACTTCATGCCTCTCCCAGAAGCCGCCTCTTCTGACCTTACCAAGGAGAAGTCCTTCCTAGGAGTTGCCTCTCTTAGGAAATATTTCTCCTAGACCACCTCATAGCCTCTCTAGGAGCTGCCTCTATAGGCCGCATCTTTGGATCGCCTTCGAGCCTTTTTCAAGAAACGCCTGTTTGAGACAATGTACCCAATCATTGCTTCGCCTCTTCTGCATTTCAAAGCAACAAAGAGAGAACTAATCCTAATCGTGTGAAGGGGGCACATTGATCTGAGGTTTTTGAGGTCATGTCCCGATACTTTGTGCAAGTCGCAATTTAACACCTTAAGCCATGTGTAATTTGATCAATTTGATGCAAGGGTGACTGGAAGTCAATTTTCCTCTTTTTCGGATAGTTTTGGATGTTAGACATATAATGGCTAGGCTCTGACTTTTTGAAAATTGTCAATAATCTAAGAGACTTCAGATTCATTCATTTTTTATAAATACTCACACTTGATGATATTTGAAGGTAATTGTAAATTGGTATTTCTCAATCTAGAACTCCAAACTATAATCTCACATTTTTTTTCTCCTTTGCGATCCTTCCAAACCGAAAGTATTTGTCCAAATATTGATTTGAGCATCAATGTGCATACAATCACGACCATTCTCGTCTTTGTTCGGAGAAGCCTAGATCAGTGTCTTTAACACATGTCCAAATGTACATATAAAGTATACATGGATGGAAGAGAAGTAAAGATATATTGACTCGTTGAGTCTGAAGGTCAATAATGTATGTATAATAATTAAAGAAGATAGAGTGGAAGGGTTTGTTTAACATGTAGTGAAAGATGACTCGTATGTACCTATCACCACAAGGAGAAGGAATCTTACCTAAATGCTGTCCCAAAATGAGAAGGCCTTTACATGTGGTTGAAAGGACAAGTTGATAAAATATCATTATATGCACAATTTACGAATTTTCTTTGAAATATTACTATTAATATTTTTACTTTTCTATTATTTATTATCCCCGTCATCTAGTCAATAACAAACAACATAGTAACGTAATTACGTTATTCTTATTGTGTTCTTTTCATGGTCTGTCTTTGTTAAATTTTAAAAATATTTTTAAAAAAAATTTGAGAAGAAATCATTTTATTCCCTATTTGAAAATAATAAAAGGTATTTTCAAAAGTATCTAATTCCATAGGTGTCAATTGAAAAATATCCACTTTTTAAATTTGGCACTAAATTGTCTATTATGCCCTTTATGAAAAAAGAAACAATTTATTTATTTTTTCAATTTGTTGCTGATTTCGAGAAGTAACTTCCATGAGAAGTTATATTAAAATGATGTTCTCGACATTTCAAATGTCACTATCGATATTTGAATCCCGTTTATATTTTAAAAGTACACATGTCAAATCACAATATTATATGTTCTCGACATTTTAAACGTTGTTCTCGACATTTTAAATCTCTATAATGATATTTCATTTTGAACAAGACAATTCTCTACACTTGAAATGTAATTCTCGACGTTTCTGTGTCAATGAGAAAAATAATATTAATTGTGATTTGAAATATGTACTTTTGAAATAAATGTGGTAAGTTATGTATGAAAAATTTATTTGTCAATAAAATTTTTGCAAAAATATTCATTTCTATCTTTGAATGGAATCATAAATTGTTCACAGGGTATTTTGGTCCAAAATATTTTAAAATGGACATTTTTGTAAAAATTGGTGAAAGTAGACAATTCAAGCAATTTCATCAAATAATAATTAGAGGGTGTTTGGTAGGAATTTTTATGTGAAAATATATTTTTGAATAGTAAATTGATGGGAAATGTGTGGTTGAAAAATAAGAAAAAGTTTTTGATTTACGTGTAATATTATTTTAATAATGAATGTGTGACTGAAAAGAAGAGAGAGAAAAATGTATTTTGAAAAAAAATGGGTGCCAAACAGCCTTATCTTGCGAGCATATATTCAGTAATGATAAGGGAAGAGAAGAATCCCATGGTGCCGTGCAGAGGAACCTCCCCTTTCGCGGAAACACGGCGCCGCTCTCTTGCCCAGTACTTTGGACCGCTGTCATGTCGAGTCAGCCTCCATTATAAAAACCATTGAGAAAACCTCAGTGCCGAACCATGGTTAACTTAAAAGAGATACACAGAGACATCCTCTATTTTTCAAAGATTATAAAGCTCTCCTTTGTGGCTAATTCTTCGTAACGTTAACAAAATATTTATTTTTTTCAAAATTTTTTCTTTTTCTTATTTATTAAGAATATATTTCCATGCTTTAGTAACATTTTCTTTTCATTTTTATTTTTGTATTTTAACATTGGTATTATAATAAGTTTAGAAAATTAAAATAATATCTTCATGAACTAAAATTGCATTAAATTTGACATCAAAAGCGAGTATGTAAATATATTAGATGAATTATAATTTATGTATCATTTATTCCACAAAAAATGATTAAGATGAAATGCTTAAAGTATACACATGTTTGGTTTGGATTAAAATTAATTTTAATTTAAGTCAAAGTCTAATAATCAATATTAATAACATTTTTCATGGATTCCATAACTTTTCAATCACACATTTCAAAATTTTTTATTATAATCTACTAAATAATCTAATTTTAATCTCCACCAAACACCCAAACTTTCTTCAAACTAAAATTATTTGTTTTTTTGCCCCTAAAATTTAATAGATATATTTATATTTATATTTAGCTTACAAGAAAAAAGACAAAATGAGAAATTTATACTAAGAGGAGGCGTTTTGTGATTTCTAAAACATGAGGGATGTCCCCGTAGTTGTGATAAATTCCAAGGCAGGTTCTTTTAATTTACTCAAAATGTAAGCTTCACTAACCATAGTTTACTCCACTCCTCACCTTCTATTTATTTCCAGCCTTCTTCTCCCCTCAACTCTCCCCAGAATTTCTCTCTCTAACTCCTACTCCCTTCTATCCATTTGATCATTTGAACTTTGATGTGCCTAAGAAAATGAGTTGCAATGGCTGCAGAATTCTTCGTAAGGGTTGCCATGAAAATTGCATTCTTAGACAAAGTTTACAGGGAATAGAGAGCCCACAAGCGCAGGCCAATGCAACTGTTTTTGTTGCCAAGTTTTTTGGCCGTGCTGGTCTCATGTCCTTTCTATCGTCTGTCCCCGAGTCTCAAAGACCAGGTACGTCACACCATCTCATCTAAATGTTCAAGCTAAGTCGGATTTGTGCGTGAAATCCGATTCTTGTTTGTTGATGAAATTTTCTATTGCAGCGTTGTTCCAGTCTTTATTATTTGAAGCTTGTGGAAGAACGGTGAATCCAGTGAACGGAGCAGTGGGATTATTGTGGACGGGGAACTGGCACGCTTGCCAGTTGGCGGTGGAGACGGTGCTGAGAGGCGGCGTTTTGCGGCCCTTGCCAGGGTTTTCTCAGTCGCCGGAGTTTGATGAAGCATCAGAAGCTAGTAACACTGATTTATACAGATCGCAAGATCTAAACTTGAGGGTCAAAAGGAAAGGTTTTGATGATGACCTGAATCTTGGTTTGACAATGGGTTTTCCAAGAAAAAATCGGCTTAGCGAGGAACGGCGGCCGGATTCTCCTTCGGACGAGTCTGAAATGACAACGTTGGAGAGTGGGCTTCTGAGTAACCAAGGGTTGCAACAAAATCACCATGGACAGGAATCAAAGTTTCTGAGACTATTTTTCTAAGTTTTTTTTTTTTTTTTAAAGCCCTCCCAATTTTTTCTTTCCCTCGAGTTATTGGGCACTTGATTTCTCAATTTTGTAGTGAGGAAGAAACTTTGAAGAAAGGATAAAGAGAGATCAGAGTTGCATTGTGTCTCTGTCTGTCTGTCTGTCTGAATTTCAGAATCTTTGTGTCAAAGGATATTAGGATGGTGCAAATATTGACGTTTGCCAGTAACCCTTTATGGAATAAACTTCCTTTTTCGTTTATTTTTCTTAACAAATTTGAATTCTTCTATATAAATTATTTTGTTGAAAGTATCGTACAAATTCAAGTCGAACAATTCTCAAAACTATTGAAAGGAAAATGTTGCTTCTGAAATTCATCTGAAAGTACTTTGTTTAATTGGTCATTAAGAACTCCAATAAAAAGCAAGGTTGTTGGGGTCCCCATACACGAGCCACCAGCTTTGAGGCGCTGCGTACAATGTATTTCTTTTGGTGGGACGTGGACAAAAATGTCCACTGCCCATTACATATTAATTACCTATTCACCCTTAGACAGTGGAGTCCTTTCGAAGGGAGAAAAGGAGGACCATAGTGATAGTTGCAACTCCATAAATTCCAGGCAAGAAATATCATCATTTATGAATTTGAATTTAAAATTGCTTGCAACAAATAAATAAATCAAGTTTTTTAAATTTCAAATGAACTACCTTAATAGAGCTCCATTTTAATGTTATCCAAAACCAAGCGAAGTTCGACTACAAAATAAATTCAAATCTTTTCTTGAGTTAATAGTAAAACTTTTTTAGGTGAATGGATTTAACATTTCCAAAGAAAAGTAATACTTTTTTTTTTTGTAATTATAATTATAAGCCCCCGTTTGATCCCCATTTTTGGTAATGAAAATGGATGAAATAGTGTTTGTTTGAAAAATGAGTGGTTGAAAAAGAAGAAAAAAATTTCGATTTACGTGTAATTATTTTATGAAAGATTGTGTGATTGAAAATAGAAAAGAAAAAAATAAAATATAATAGAATATAATTTAATGGAGTCCAAACGGGGCTAAATCAGTTCATAGGCTCGAAAACAGTGAGGCATAGAGTGGAACGCGAACACTGCCCAGTCAATTGTTTGACTTTTCTGTCTTGCTTTTTATACTGCCAGGTGGGTGAGGTCTCTCAGCTATACAGCAAAACTTGTACCTCAAGATGTGGGGTGGGGGTATATAAAAGCATTAAAAAAGGACGGACAAGATGAATTACAAATAAATATATTCCAAGATTTTGTATATGCTGCATAATGTCCAATGCAAAAACACAGAATCCTAAGGCTATTTCAGTGTATGTATTCATCGTGTGAAGTCTTTAAAACTTGAACGGGACATTGATGAGAGTTGACCAGATGTCAAAAACAAGAGAGAGAAACATGTTGCCTACGAACTCTGAATCGAAGAGACTAATGACACACTTGTCAAAAGCTAAAACACTGAAAAAATGCATCCTGCCAATTACAATTTAGCCCTTGTTTGAGCCCCGTTTTTCAACCAAAATACATTCTTCAACAGTGATTTGACATCATTTCAACCACACATTCTTCAATAAAATAATATTATACGCAAATAAAAAACTTTTCCTTATTTTTTAACCACACATTTCCCATTAATACACTATTCAAAAATTCATTTTCTTTACAAATATGGGGCTCAAACAAGGGCTTAATGTAAAAACACATTCAGATAGCACTAAGATTAGAACAAGAACAGGTTAATCACAGTGTTACTAGGATATTACATTATTTACATCAGTTTTTCATTTTCCTTGACAAGCAGAAAGAGTAGGAAAAAGAAAGAGAGACTGTGTACAACTAAGTGGTAAGAATGAAATGTAATCTTGGATACCTGGATTGGTTAGCATTCACGCGTTGATAAATCCCGTATGAAAATCCGAGATTAAGTCAGCCGGTCCATACTGACATCCACAAATGCTACCTCCAGATAGGTCGAAAAATGTTTGGTGTAGTGTTAGCAAATATGATCAGTTATATAAGGGTCCGTCTTCTCAGGCTGATGATACACAGTTACGCAGTAGCAAATGCGTTCTCAAACTAGTTTCTTTAACCTGTTACGTTTCATTGGACAATGAATTATCACTGGTAAATGATACAAAATATTATAAGAATGAGAGAATTTTGTATTACCTGCATTGCTGCTATCATGGATATAAAATCTGTGCACTGTTCAAGTAGAGCACTCTCTTTAGCCATGATTTTTGCAAGTTCAGTCACCAATGAGTTCACATCCTCCACCTGAAACGTGATTTACATTGTTCTGCATGGGTCAGCCATGCAAATAGAACAGCTTTCGGCTGAAATTCAAAATGACATTCTAGTCCCCTCTTTCTCTTATCAAATAAGGCAAAATGGTCCTATATTACTGGTTCCAGAGTCATTAAGGAGGGAAAAGTTAGATCAATCCCAAGGGAAAGTATGCAGTAAACAAGAGTAAATGTGAATACCCTAGGCAGAAGTGAACATATTGAGGATGCCATTGTCTGCATTACATCAACTGTGGAACTAATAGCATCTTTCACGCTTTGCAGGTCGGCCTGTCAAAATTGAAGATATTCTCGAATGTGTCAAATGAAATTCGTTTTACACTTGAGACATGGCTTAGAATATCAGCAACAAAGAAAAGAATTATGCCAGCCACATACAATTGCTCCTCCAACAATCGGAAGACGAAGAGTGCTAGCCTTCAAAGCTTCAATAGCTCCCAGCAAAGAAATTGAGTGGTCTTTATCCAAAGCAGCCCAATCTTCCAAAAAGGACATCTATATCAGAAATATTAACTTACTTCAGATTTGTCGAATTGAAATTATCTAAATCATACCCACATCCACAGGTACTTACCCGCCAACAAACAGAGAGAACAGATAGTTTAGAAAAATCCAGAGATAACTTCTGGGTAGAGAAATTAGTTGAAAATCAAATAAATAAAACAAAAGATTACAATAAAAGAAATTTAGTTACACTAATATTAACCCACAACTCAAGCAAGGATTGAATATACAAACCATACAGGTTTAAAGGTTTGTTGTTACATGTCACTGGCACTCAGTTGTATGAAAAAATATAAGTAACTCCGTCTAAAAAAATCTTTAAAATGCTCTCATATTGAATCCCATCATCAACCATCCAAAATTATTGATCTAAAGTATCCATCCAAATATGGGTAAAAAGTTAGGAAGCAATAACGGTAGCCTAAAGGGAGGAACAACCCCCTCCAAATTAGCATTGCCATACTTCACAGCAGTCCAATTCAACATGAAAAAATTAGGGAGCAACTAAATCTGATTTTACATTGTGAAAATAAAAAACAGAACCTCAAAGCTAAGAAATATTGACATTTCAAGATCGGTGTTTATTCCATCACTTTCAAAGTAGATATTGACAATAAGAGAGGATAATAGACACCCAACGAGATAACTATCACAAACACAGCCTCTCTATTTAAAACTAACAGATGCTCATGAGGTTTCTCCCTTTTACGTTTTGTTAAGATTTGAGATTCCATCTTAAAAGGTCAACCTTGTTAAGAAAAGTAATTCAAAACCTTATAAGTTGGTCTATGCTTTCATCTTTATTCAATGTGAGATTATATCCCTTCGTATGCTCTTGCAAGATGGTGGCTCGTTTGAACAAACCAATCTTGAAATCCGTATTAGCTTAATGGGCCTCTGATACCATATTAAAACTTAAGGTTCTATCTTAAAGGTCAACCTTGTTAAAAGGAGTAACCCAAAACCTTCTAAATTAGTTTATGTTTTCATTTTTATTCGATATGGGATTATATCTCTTAACACGTTTTAAGGCAGTTTTCCCCAAAAATAAAAAGTAAATAACTGTGATACCTAACCTGTCCTTGTTAAAAAATAATAATAATAAATAAAATAAAAATGCACTCTCTATTGCCAGATGCTAAAATTTCAAGTTTCGAAATGGCTTAGACATCGCAAAGGAACTGAAGAATAGTTACTTTGACAATCAAGCTGAAACAAACAGTTTGGGAAGCAAGCAACTTTGGCAAATTCAGCCCTTGTTTGAGCTCCATTCTTTTCATAAGAATGAATTTTTGAAGTGTATTGATGGAAAATGTGTGGTTAAAAAAAAAAGAAAAATTTCGAACTTACATGTAATATTATTTTATTGTGTAATTAAAATAATATCAAAACACTATTTAATAATGTATTTTTCTCAAAAAATGGGGCTCAGACAATGGCTTAGTTTTATGTTCATGCACTAGGGATATCTAGAGCATCTGTCAAGACTAAGTATGTCTTATTTCCATTATGACATATTGCAAGTAAATATATCATTCAACAGCATAGGCGTCAAATCTATTCTTTTTTGAGGGTCTTCAGAGTAGGAAACGAGAGGAATGAATTTTGCTACTTTGTGCCATAGCCCTCTTCATATAACAAGTAGCAAGTCAATAACACCAATCAACATGACTAACAGAGAAATTTCACAACCTTTACAGGAAAGATCACTATATGCATTCGAGATTATAATTTATATAGTTTAAGCTACATAAAACTCGATAAAAATATAGATCTGATGGCGGAGCATCTATGATGAAATATAATTACTGTAAATATCAGTTATGATAGCCGGTAAGCCAATTGGTAAAAAAAAAAAAAAAATACCCGTGATTGGACTTTTTTTTCAGCAATTGAAGCCAAATTTTTCTAAGTGGAATTGCAGTCCAAGTTTATACTGACAATAAGTGATTCATGTGTAAAAAAAATGATTTATATGGCCATCTCTGGGTTAAAAATTTCTATGTTATACAATAATTTTGCGGCTAAATATTCCAACAGAAAATTCTGCAATATAAAGTAGAAACCAGGAAAGGAGATTACTTGACCCTTGAGAATGGAGGCTAATTTTAACTTTTGCCTCAGCAATTGCAATCTGTGTCTTTTTTTGGTGACAGTGTCGCGTAGATCTGAGATTGTTATCCATGCATTCCATAGATTTTTCTGATAAAGAGAGGAAAAAGTTCAAATATTCCTATATGTGGAAAATACTTTAACAAACCAACCTAGTAACAAGTAACATATTATACAGAAAGCAATACAGATACAGAAAGATAGAAAAAGTAAGTTGCCATGTAAAATATAAGGTATGAACATTTCAAAGAGATTTTAATAAAATTCTCAAATAGCTAGAAATCTAATTTATCAAGTAAAATGACGAACAAGAAGCATATAAATATTCAGTTTAAAAGAAGCAAAAATGAGAAACTCAAAAGTCGTTCAGGATTATCCAGATTGGGAAGTTTGAACATACTAAGTAACTTACACTACAACTCGCTTCAGCCCTAAAACGGACAAAAATAAATAAATAAATATCATATTGTCGAATGAGCGGAACCTAACATACTGTCGGATATGTGAGTGAAATTTTTAAAGTGTTATAGGGTACTTTGGAAAATTTGAACGCATATTAGGTCGTCCTAATATTTTCCTCCTATATGAAAGGGTATATGCACATTGTCAAATTGAAGATAGAAAGCATACAAAAAGTATGAAAATTGAATAAATGGCAAGGATAGCAGAAATTACATCACCCAAAATTAGAATAAAAATAATGTACAGCAGCCATTGAATCTACCACTTAACATCTGTGTTTTAATGGTCTAGCTTTCAACTGTCTTGGAGCTCACTTCCTAGAGAATACTTGAAAACTTTACCAGATGGAAGTGAAGCTTCTTGAATATGAAACTTCCAAGTTCCAACAAAATATACACAAATAAACTAATAGGAAGTGAAATAAAATATAAGAAATGACCTTGATGTCTGTTCATGTATATTTTTCTAAACCGTCATGAACATCAATATATAATTCTGATTATTGTATTTTTCAAGGCTAGATTTCATCCATTCATTTGCCCATTATTCTAATGATATGCAAAGACCATCAACATCGAGTAAGGATACACACAATTGTTGTCCTCTCTATAACTAAAATGTTTCCATAAGCCCACAAAGCAATTGTATGATCTAACCTGAAGCTATCGCACAAATAAATTGTCTTCCATTGATTTCAAAATTAGTCCATACAAGTAATTATCTCAATAGATTTTACTTTTTACTTACACAGATTCATCACAATTACATACTCATCATCCTGCAATATATGCACCTGTAGATACTTTATATCATTAACTAAAAGAATTATTAGAAAGTAACAATTTTAAGATTTTGCAAAAAGGAATTGTGGTGTGTATTATGTTAGTTATGTTCATGCATTTTTTAGAATAACTTCCACACAGCATTAATTGGCTCGTTGCGAATATTAAATTACATCTGCATAGCCATGTTTCTAATTTGGAAAATAAACAAGTCTGCTGCTCAGATGCATAGCTGCATAAGTGAACATTAACTAAGGTTAATCATAGTGATCCCAACACATTTTGACAGATTTTTTAAAACATGAGGTGAATTATTATGTATGCAACTACTTTCATCAACATGCTTTGAAAGGTCAAATTTGACAGCAAAAGAATCAGTGTAGTTCAACAAGAAACGTGGAAAAAATGAAAAGGGTGATGGAAACACCCAAAAAATGCTGCTTTGCAAAGATCAATTGCTACTAGATCAGATATTAGGTGAGAATGAACTTAAAAATCATGAGTAAGAAAATTGATATTTATTATTATGCATCTCAAAAGGGAAGGGAAGATTATCATTTCGAGTCAAAGAAAGTATCTAGCAGAAAAACATGAACATTAAAATAATTTATTATCGCCTGGCCAGAAGGAAAGCATCAATACTGCTTAAGAGTTATGTCTGAAAAGCATAACAGAAGAATTTACTTGTAAGTTTTAATAATGGACATATAAATCGTGTTATCTGGATATTTTAATCTACACCAGTAGAAAACCGCTGAAGTTAAGGAAAACTCTAAGTTCTCGTCAAAATGACAGGACAGCAGATAAATTACACCCCAACTTTTTATTGCCGACTTTGTTAATAAGTCAACTTAAGAGGACCATAGTCAGAAATGAAGACAACTAGAAAGTCTAGAGCACAAAGACATATAGACAAGACATATGCCATCAAATTTGCTATGATAAAAAGAAACATGTGAACAAAACCGAAGTGCACCTGTCACTTTTCAATAACTAGACATGAAAGAATAACTAACTTTTCTTCTTATTTGGATTTATGTGATTTTGATGTTGACTTTCATTACAAAAATATATACGGTGAGCCAGTGACCATAAAGCTCAAAGAAAAAACTCTTTTGTATTTATGCAGATAAGAGTACTGTCTCCACTAAATTAGGGCTAGGACAGTAAAACATTAACTCACCTCTAGCTAGCTTTAAGCTTACTTCGATATTTCAAGGGCAAAGTACTTTAGCAAACCGTACCAACAAATATATAAACACGATGTCCTGTGGCCAACACCACAATTCTCTATTTCCTTTTTCTATTTGCTATGCAAGTTAACATGTGATTTCACGAAACAGCATCTATACATATCTCATTCATATTTATATTTATCTCATTAAAAGAATGTTCAGTCAGACATCAAACTGGGTCTTCTCATGCTCAGTGAAATAGTTATTTCACTATTCTACAATATAATCATTTCATCATGGATCCTAGAAGTGCTTCTCGCTACAACATGTAAAGAAATCAAAACACAAAAGTTAGCATCAGATATAATAAATAAACACATCCACGTCTGGCACTCATGCAAAATTTTTGAACGAACCATTTACAAGGTAAAAGTAAAAATAATAGATATAACAAACATGCTTCTAATCCTCCATAAGTTTTGTTAGTTTTAGATAATTATTTCTTTTCTACAACTAAGCCTTATACCCAATACATTATGTCCTTTCATCTTCCTTTATTTCCTCCACCAAGAATCTTATTATTGGAGTCCAAGCTGATTTTATATAATGGAGGATGACATGATGTAAGAGAAAAGCAATGAAATTCTGTTATGACCATTTGCATCTATCAACATTCACTTCCTCTTAACGAGTGTATTCCACATGGAGAGGTTTAATCAGCTATACTCTATGGGTTGGAATGTTTCACTCTGAGTTCATATGTTTCACACCACAATCACCAAAGCTAAACGGTCACACAATTCTTATGAGATCCTAACAATTCATTTATCCCGCTTGGTTTCACCATGATTATCAAGTGTTAAGAGCATAATATTTGTTACCCTCCACCCCCCCCCACCCCCCAAAAAAATAAATAAATAAATAAATTATGATCATTGTCAAACAAAAAGCACGCATAGACTGTCACTAGCAAAATCAAAAGCAACCCGTCAAATTTTGTATTCTCAAAACCACAGGTAACTATAAATCATCTCACCTCTGCACCGTGTTTCTGCACCCGCAGGACAGCTTCAGTTCTAGCATTTACAAAATGCCACTGCAAGTGTCGATTATACAGAAGCCTCAACAAGTGTGCGTCAAAAATCCGGTTCTCTCCAACCTTCCCCCTCCTAACGTCAACAGAAAAACTAAGAACTGAGGGTGTTTCACTAAAATTATTGCTAATGGTACTAACAGCATTTCTGACTCGAGACGGACTAATTCCACGGGATGGAGATGATCCCACAGGTGTATTAAGCTTGCTCGGAGACGCAGCTCTAATACCTCCACGAATAGGAGAAGTCATCGTTCGTGGGGATGATAAGGGACCATCACTTGGATACTTTTTCAATTTTGGCGGCACAATCAACTTGGACCCAGGACTTGTGGATAAGGTTGAACCTGAATCCTGCAATCTCCTCAATCGACTATTAGTTTCTTGCCAAAATCTTGCCGAAACAACAATTCCGCGAGGCCCATTATGCCCATGGGATGCCCCACCACATTCTTGAACTCCTGATGTACTGCCAGAGGATACACTATCCGTATCAGATGCAGTGAGATCAGATTGCACGGAATTTCCATCTGGTGCCGCCTTAAGAATCTGGGAACTGCCCAAATCAAGACTTAACCTACCATCAAGCGACGCCCTACTCTCATCAATCATCGATTGTTGCAATGCTCGAATCACATTTCCAGATCCGGTGAGCTTACTTTTCTCATCACCACTACTACTACAATCCAAACTCCTCGACAATGGATTCACTAGCCGGTTCCGTGCTGGCCATCGATGCTGATCGACAGGCTTAGTATTCTCCACTTGATCTCCTTCTCCATCGCCCTTCCCTCTCGATGGCGTACTGCTCCTCCTCCTCCTCTCCGGCGTACCCTTCCTCACACTACTCAAATTAGGCGAAGGTGGGACCACCTTAGACTTACTAACGGGTAGAGAAAACGCTTCACCTTGAAAGGAAACAGATAATCTCCGAGTAGAAGTGACCAAATGCTTTGTGGCAGCTGAAACCTCAGTGTAATTGCTCTGCTTGGAATCAAGATCAAGTGCTAACGGCCTCGCAGACACGGGACGCCGGCGGTCTACAGAAACAGACCTCTTCGGTCCCGACAAAGGCGTATTCAAAACCGAGGTCGAGTTTCTCGAAACCAAAGGGGATGGATACCTTCTAGAAGAGGTGGAAGATGAGGAAACTGAAGATGCATTTGAGGTTGAAGTGAAAGTCGACGGGCACATGTATCTTGAAGAGACTATTCTCGATTTAGGCCTTTTGGATGTATTGCCAGAAACCCCATTACTACTATCTTTTTCAGAAGGCAACAAAGGTGGTCTTCTTGAACGTTCATCTCTGATTTTTGCGTTTTGTGGGTCAGTCGTTGAAGCTACTCCAGAAGCAGCAGCCACCATCATCACGGCAAAGAACACACGTACAAACACAGTTATTGTGAAAATTCGCCGTTCACAGACTCATCCAGAAGCCCATTTGATGTCGCCATTAATCTGCAATAAAGATCAAGAAATCCCACAGTAGCTCAAGAAACCATAATGAGTCATTGAAATATTCCACATTCCTCCAAGATTTCTTCACAAGAGTCGAAAAGAATCTAAATGACAATGCTGCCAACTCAGAGATAGAAAAAACCCAGGAAATTTTGTTAATTTTCCAACAATTGAATTGAACGGGGGAGAAATTGAGATTTGCAGGGAATGGGGCACAATGTCTTCGGGGACAGGAGTCGAGGGTGAATTTGGGGGTTTAGTTGAACTTTGAATAGACGTTACGCTAACCATGATCGAGAAAATTTAAACTTAATTACTTGATAAAAAAAATTTTAATTATTTTAGTGGATTAAAAAATTATAATGAGGGGTTTAAGTAATTTAATAGGTATTTTGTAGGGATTGATGGGGCTGTCTCAACTCCCAAAACTCCACTTTTTAGTGCAACACCACATCACTTGTACTCTTATCAGTTTTTCAATTTATTTGCCCAAAAATTGGACCCTACAAATTTTAACAAGAATCCAACCTTATGAATCAAAATATTTTCGATTTTGGATCCAAAAATTAAATAAAATTTAATGGTTCTATTTCATAAAATACTCAAATTTTAATAAGTGGTTTTGGTTGTTAAAATATCCGTTACTGAACTTGACGTTCACCCTTATATTTTCGATTGTGCTAAATGTACATAATGATTTACACATACATAAAGTAATGAGATAAAATTATATCGAAATTTCTTCAATAAAAAAAATCACTCTTTTTTCACAGTTCATTTGTATGTAAACCATTATATACCTCCTTATGTACAATTAACGTTATTCTTATATTTTACTGTTAAGCAATAGGACGACGTGACATACTATAATAGATGATAAGAAATAATAGTTGATTACAAAATTGATTGCATAACATCTTGTAGTTTGCCACATCATTCGGCATAAGTTAAGCACCGATATTTAGGAGATTAATTCCGTATGTATATATTAAACAAGCAATCAAAATTATTAACGAAGTTGATGAAAAAGTTGGGTATCCTAACTTTTTGAGGAGAATCGTGCCAGGTTTGTTAGAACCATTTAAAATTTACGAAGAAATAAGTTAAATTATACCTTTAAAATTATGATTGTTGTGGTGTAGAACCAAATTGAATGGTTCCGGTTCTTGTGTGGTTCTAGTAATTACATGGAATTGAATAGTTTTATTTACATAATCCTCGTGGGTGATTTTAATTATTTCTTGAGATACTTGAACCAAACTTTTCGATGCCCACCAATATGCAATTGATGAATATTTCAATTATAGCTCCAATTTTAGTTTTAAAAAAACCCTAATTCTTAATCACTCAGACACGGATTAGATTCAAGAATAATAATTTAAACCTTCTTTGGTAACACGGGATGGTTTGATAAAGTTTTTAATAAAAATTTCAATTTTTTTTTTTTTTTTTGTAAAAAATTGATGAAATGGAAGATTAAAATTAATTATTATTTTTTATCTCAAATTTTAAATTATTTTATTTTTTTTTAAGATTTTCAAACAAGAATGGGTTGCCACTTAATAGGTTATAAAGCCAAACCTAGGTATTAGCAAATGACAACCAATTCAATATTGGTTTAGTCGAAAGAAATTCTTGGTTATATGAACTAATATCGAAAATGGGATTAATTACATAAAATATAATCTAGTTTATGACTCACAAGGTTGGACTCTAAAATAACAATATATTCTAAACAATTCACATTTTTAAGTAGCTTTATTGAGATAAGTATGAAATTATATAAAGTCTTTCGATTAATGTTTGTAAATTGCACAAATATCTAATTTGATATACTAGCTCTATTTGTTTTGTAATTTTGATTCGAACTATAAATCCATCCTTGAATTCAAAAAATTACGTTAATAACAAGTTTGAAGAGACTAGTGGAGAGATGTCGTGGCTTGAAAAAGAGGGCCATTTGCCTTGTAACATTTGCAAGGAATGACACTTGCTTTTAACGCCTATATAATACGTCTTTGTTTTCTACCATCATATCCAAATTATCTAATCATGTCATTTTTGTCACTTTTTCCCCCCTATTATGTACTCAAATAAACAAAATCTTTTGCTATTGAAAAGTTTGTGTTGATGTTGATATGAAAATTCACATTTAATCAATTGACGGTCAATCTTAACTTGGTCAAATACCTTATTAATACAAGTCAAACTATGAAAGACGTAATAAAGAAATATCATCATGATATGATAGAAAACGTTTTTCTTCAAAACTTGAGAATCGTCATCACAACCAATCAAAAGGGAGTCATGATAACCTAAGATGTATATATAAGGCCTAGATTTCATGAGAACCTTGTCTCAGATGTACTCTCCAGCCAACCAAAACGGGGTGGCCTTTTTTTGTTATCAACAACTTCTTTTTCCAATAAATTTGTGTCGCCTAGGTATTATTATTATTATTATTATTTTGTTCAATTCATTACTAGTTTTGCCGAAAGATCTAAACATTTAGATATATGTTAATCATAATTCTATCACTTTTAAGAACACGAGTCTCTTGAGATCTACAAAAAATCGTTATTTCTTTAATTTATCCTTATCAAATCAATCCATCAGTATCCCCTCTATTTATTAGCATATATAACTTAATTAAAGGTTTAGTATGAAAATCAACTTCATTGACTTGAACTAATCCGTGAATTTTAGTTGACGCCGTCAATGGATTGTAACGAGTCACGAGGGAGACCAAAGATCAGCAAGCACAACAGTGTTTAATTAAACTATTTGTCTATTTAGATTTAATCAAGAGATATTCAGGCCATGTTTGGGAGCTATTTTTCACTCAAAAAATTGATTTTTTGATCGTTATTTTACTATTACAGCCGTCATATTTGACTTTTTCTCTCACAGGTGGATTCCACTTTTCTCCTAACGTTCCAAAAATCAATTCTCAAAATCACTCCCAAACAGACTCTTATTAATGGTGGTTGAAATAATTTAGTGAATTGGGCCTGTCTCATGCTTGGCAATGATTAAATGGGCTAATAAGTAATATCACAGTTCAATCGTATACAGGATGAAGGGTGTGCTCCATTAGGCTATGATTTAGTGGGCTGGGCCTAGAGAGTTTTCATTGTTTCAACCTTGTTAGCCAGCCCGGTCCAACTGGATTGGAGCTGTACTATTGGGCCACAAATTGGCCCATCATAACGCAGACGGCCCAGGAGTGCAAGGGACTAAATCAACTCAAACATAAACTCCAGGGACCGATTTGCAGCAACCAGAAACCGTAGAGGCTGATTTGCAACATTCAAAAAATAGAAAAATTCTACTTGTACATAATTGTTGCACATAATGGTGTCCATAATGTGATATGACAATCATTCTGTTGTTGATGTACAAATGTGAGATTTGAATTAAAGGTTGGATCCAGTGTCACGTGTAATTATGGATACCATTATATAAAAAATTATGTATATGTAGAACTTCTCCAAAAAATATAGGGACTGATTCGCAGCAAACAGAAAACTCAGGACCTGATTTGCAGAAAATAGAAACTTCCTTGGCATATTTGCTGAACCCAAATAATTCAGATACCAATCTACCAAATTTGAGGGTGAGATTACAGAAAACAGAAATTTGAATAGCGTCTGCAGATGATGGAGGGGCCCTGCTACATAGTCATGGCCTCATTGGGCCCTGGATTTTCCAAGAAGGGGGACATGTGCCCCCCCCCCGCCCGGCTAGTAGGGGCAGACCCACTTGGGGGGTCATATGGACCTGTTTTTTTTCCTAAGAAAATAGTTGTTTCAACACATATCAAATAAAATCGAAATATTGCATTTTTAATATTATTTCGATGTACTCAAGGCCCAATTTTTTGCTCCTAAATGGCATGCAAAATGATCGATTGTAACAAAAGTCGTGCATCAAAGTAAATCTTTCCAAATTACTATTTCGAAAATTTCATTAATATGTTAAGTTTTAAAATTTGTCAATGATCGTATCAAATTCACAAATTCCCTGCATCATCTAGAAGCTCATTTCGAAAATTACATCGTAATCATATCGAATGGTTCAAACAGATATTGAAAATAGTTAAATGTGTCAAACATATGTACTAAAATATCGTTTGACTCGTCTTCTCTTTAAAAAAATGCAATTATTTCATTAACTTTTATTATTTTTGCAAGATAAAATTTTCAATATAGTTTACATCATTTTATTAAGAAATTTTATATGAAAAATGAAGTCAAAAATTTTAAATCGTTATGGATTAAATATAAATTGAATTGCTTTCAAATTACTTTCGCGTTAAATTTAAATTTCATTTACTTCCTGGATTAAATGTGAAATTCATTTCTATACATTTACTTTCTACATCTAATTTGATTTACTCACCATTAGCTTAATATCTATAAACGAAATGATAAACAAAACTATAAAAGGAGCAAAATCCATGTAACGATATTGACAACGATATAATTATAAGGCAATTTTAATGTAGCAAAATGCACATTAACTTATTTTCATTAATACTATGTTATTTTAAAAAATTACGCAATAATTTTTGACCCCACAAACCAAAAGGTTTGGGCTCGTCCTGCCAACCAAGAAGAATAATTCATGATTAAGTTAGACCTACGAACAATGTCCTTTAAGAAAATATTAAGCCCCTCTTTGGTAGTAATTAAAATTCAAATTTCAATCCAAATTCAAGTCAATTATTAATTTTTAACATATTTCATGGTCCCATAAACTTCTAACTACATATTTGATTAACTTTTATCAAAATTAACTAGAAATCTGATTTTAATTTCCATCAAACAGAGACTAAGAAATATTTTGTTGATTTGATTATGGGTCGGTACCATTTTAATGGACTCATAAATATTAAATTCTTGGATGCCAAAAAGATATTAAAATATTAGAGGTAAAGTGCTTGTTTGGTAGGGATTTTGTTAATTGATTTTTTGATCGTTAGAGATAAAGTGAATCCTATTTGTGAGAGAATAATTTAAAAATAACGGCTGAAATAGTGGAATAATGATAAAAAAATTAATATTAATTGAATTAAAATCTCTACCAAACATGCTTTAAAGAGAAAATGAAAGTTAATGAAAAGTGACTGAGAAGTCGTGAATCTCGCGCAAAAATTTAATTATAATAAGTTGTTGATTTTTTAACTTAAATTTTAATCATTTTTTTGAACTGAATGAACAATATCTTTCAAACAAAACGTGCACGTTTCAGACAGGATCTCACGTCAACACACACCACCATCGTATCATACATGGATTCGAACTTCAAATTTCTTGGATCATACAATTCTTCAGAGCAACTTGTCAAAGGATCTGCATTTACCCGGTCCAAAACTAAATTTTTTCTTTTTTGGGGGGGCGAATCAATTCCTCTCTCTCTCTCTCTCTCTCTGTCTCTCTTTCTCGTCCACTCTTGGATCACACAATTCTTCGGAGCGACTTCTCAAAATATCTGCACTTACCCAGTCAAAATTCAATTCATCTCTACTTCTCTCGTCCTTTCTGCACATGGACGAGGAGGAAATGGTGAATGATGCCAAGAACTCTTCAAACAGAAAGCCAAATCCAAAACTTTCAATTTTACCTCTGATTGCATTGATTTTCTACGAGGTCTCTGGCGGTCCGTTTGGTGTAGAAGATTCAGTCAAAGCAGGAGGCGGGCCTCTGCTATCTTTGCTTGGTTTCTTAATATTCCCCTTTTTTTGGAGCATCCCAGAAGCTCTAATTACTGCTGAATTGGCCACAAGTTTCCCAGAAAATGGTGGCTATGTCCTTTGGATATCTTCAGCTTTTGGCCCTTTTTGGGGATTTCAAGAAGGGTTTTGGAAATGGTTTAGTGGAGTTATGGATAATGCCCTTTACCCGGTATTATTTCTTGATTATTTGAAGCATTCTTTTCCTATATTCAATAAAATGATTGCTCGAATTCCAGCTCTATTAGGAATTACAGTTTCCTTGACATATTTGAATTATAGAGGCCTGCATATTGTTGGATTTTCAGCTGTTTTTCTTGCTGGTTTTTCGCTTTTCCCGTTTATTGTATTAGGCATCCTTGCAATTCCTCGAATTAGGCCTAGAAGATGGTTTGTTGTGGATTATAGAAAGATAGAATGGAGGGGATACTTTAATAGCCTGTTTTGGAATCTGAATTATTGGGACAATGCAAGTACATTGGCAGGGGAGATTGAGAACCCGAGTAGGACATTCCCTAAGGCGCTATTGGGGGCCGTAGTTTTGGTGGTGTGCTCATATTTGATTCCTCTTCTTGCGGGCACAGGAGCTTTGGATACGGATTTTAGCGCGTGGAGTGATGGTTATTTTGCTCAAGTTGGAATGTTGATTGGTGGATCTTGGCTCAAGTGGTGGATACAAGCAGCTGCTGCCTTGTCGAACATGGGGTTGTTTGAAGCTGAAATGAGCAGTGATGCCTTCCAACTGCTAGGGATGAGCGAGATTGGGATGCTCCCTTCTATATTTGCTTCAAGGTTAGTTTTTATTTTTCTTTGCATCAGTATGGATATTATAGGTTCATCAAGTTGCATGTTTATGTGGCATTTGATTAAGAGAAACTTGGAAATGATCTAAATCAGATTAAGTACGGAATAGAAAGTGTGGTGCGGTCAGCTGATGAAGTTTTTGTTATATGGGCTCCAGCCCATGATGAAAATAAGAGGCCGTAGAATTGTTTGTAATGTATGTAAAAAAAGGTTGAACTCCAACCTTAAGGGTCCCCCACCGCCCCTGTCATAGAATGTCGCGAGGGAGGTAAATCGCAAGTTATGCCTTTAAGGGTATAGGGTGGAAGGCTGCTTGTACACTTGCACTTACCTAAGAGCCAAATTCATATTTCAGGATTCGGACCCTTGACGTGACAGCCTCAAGCAAAGTTGGATTTCTCCACTCTCCCCTTTTACCACTTGAAAATGTGTCCTGGGGGCAGTTGGTAATGTATGTATATCCATCAAACCGTGCTGTGCATTAGAGAAGAAGGGGAACGGGAGGCTGCTGTGAGAGAGAAAAACACAAAAGTCGTCTTAGAAAAGTAAAAAACTAAGGCTTTCCATATAGAGGTCAAAAAGGGCTGTTGGAGAGAAAATAAAAGAGGGAGAGAATGAATTTTTTCTTTAAATTTGGATATGGATTCACATAGGTATTTTTTTGCTTCTCTATATAATACAAATTGAAATTTTCTCTAAGGTGTATTTTGGGTACCCTAGAAGTGTAGTATTCAAAGTGAATTCTCACAAGGTTAATCAGATTGGTGATTTGTGATGAGATAAATTGTTGTCTTAGAAATTTGTTATTGTGGTATTTTCGATTTGTTGAGAATTCAAGTTTTGGAGCATAAATTTGAATATTATAATCTATATTTTTATTATAGTGGCCGTGGTTTTTTTCCTTCCACACTGAAGGATTTTTTCCACGTAAAAATTTGGTGTTGTGTTTGCTTATTTTTGCTTTAATTATTTACTTGCATATTTAATCACTTTAGTTTATTGTTTGAATTGGTGAATTTATTCTTGCAATAAGTGAAATTGCCCAAGAGTTTTCCTTGTCTCAATATGTTAATAATGCAGTCATTTATCATGTGAATGTAAAAGAAATTAAGATTTGTTTAGAGTAAAGAGGTCGACTCACCTTAGGCAACTGAATTACAAGAACACCATTCGTTCAACATCTGCTGCAGGCATTGGTTTTGTATTGAAAAACGATTTCTCATTTAATCCAATACTTCCAAGGTATGTCACGATCATTCCTGGGCAAAAAGTACTAGGTACAACATTCCACTTTTAACGTATTGAACTGATATTCTACTTGAGTAACAATGGCTTGTAAGCGCCTTGTTTGTCACCAAACATCCGCTAGAGGTAATGCAAATTTATATCAGAATTTTTTGAAAATAGTTGCGGGAATCTCAATCGTAATTCAGAAGTATCCTGTGATAATAGGTTCAAGACAGTAAACTCATGTTGCATTTGCCAACAAATCCCCAGTCTACTGGGGATAAGATCATAATTAACCTAGATACTGCTCCTAGGAACGCAGTAACCAGGACTCAAGTTCTGAATCTTTTTAATCATCAATCAGTACCAGAGCTGGGAAATTTTTATCTTTTACTGCTTTAGCATGACAATATTCCTTCGAATCTTGCAGATCAAAATATGGGACGCCCACATTCAGCATTTTATGTTCAGCAACTGGTGTAATTTTCTTGTCATGGATGAGTTTCCAAGAAATCTTAGAATTCCTCAACTTCCTATATTCTGTAGGAATGCTCTTTGAGTTTGCAGCCTTCATCAAATTGAGAATAAAGAAGCCAGACCTGCATAGACCTTACAAAGTTCCCGTGCAAACATTTGGTGCAATGATGCTTTGTTTACCTCCTGTATTATTGCTTGTTCTAGTCATGTGTTTGGCATCCCTAAAGACTTATTTAGTAAGTGGTGGCGTTATTGTTTTGGGATTTTTCCTATACCCTGCAATAGTTCATGCAAAGGAGCGAAATTGGACCAAGTTTAGTACAGAAATACAACCCTCGATGCCTTCTGATAGCGATCTCGAAGGCCGTCCAATTGTGTTAGAAGAGCATCAAGAAATCGATGAAGCTGCTCGTGGCCTTCTTTTCGATTCACAATCTTCTAGGACAGAGCAAGTATCTGATATCTCATCAGAGGGAGTTTCAAAACTGGAGTAGAACGTTCCACAGATGTCTTTATTCAGTACTCTTCAAGTCAAATATACTTTCTGAGATATTATGTATGATAGTTGTACCAGTTTAAATCTTGTTAACATCATTAATTTTTTTATATTATGAAGACTTCAAAATCAGAAGTTGTTGTAGGGTACAATGAAGTCACGCGTTTGAACTTTGCTTTATTATCATCCATGTCTAGCAATTCAAGCTGCTATCCAGTTTCATGCTGTTACAATATATAATATCAAGATGCACATAGAAGTCGATATTTATGATTCTACTATGCCGTTTCACCTGTCAAGCCAGTGAAGAGCAAGAGAGAGGCAATTATTGACCAACTTAGCATCCGAAGTCGTAGGGCACCAGTCCTTTCAGCTCAGGTCCGTTAAGTTTGTTGTGCTCGAAACTGAAATGAATGCCAGAAAGAAAGGTCCATCAAATGATCATTGTCAACATTTGAACAGAACTTGGCATTAGTTTGAACTAGCCATGCCACGATAATAGTAAATAGCTATGGATTGTATAGTACGGTGTTAAAGAAAAAGAACAGGAAAAAGAAGGGCTAAGAATTTGTTTATTGTAGTGTCTAGTGCTATCAGAGATTGAATACCAGTTTTGCCTCTATATTTGAAGGACAACAATGTCCATCTGTGATGCAGAGGAGACTCGCCTAGTCGAACATAACTATGCAGGCCATATGTTCAAATTCTCTAACTATGAAGGACAATAGAACTTCTTGTAAAGTACCTTTCCATGGTAAAACTTTTGAAAGGGCCATCGACCGGTATTGTTCCACAGAGATCATTGTTAGAAACATCACTGCAGACATTAAAATCTCCAAACATAAGCTAAAGAAATCAAACCTAAAACTTTGAGGTATGGAACTACTGCACTTTTCAAACTTAACAAAACTTTGAGGTCTGAAAGAGTGGTTAGTTCCCTTGGAATTGAGCCTGTTAGCTTGTTATCATTTAATTGTCTGCACATAAAAAGAGAATGAATACAAAATTCAAGAATCAAAGAGTGCAGATTTTGGTTTATTATACTCACAAAAATCTAAGAGACTTCAATTTGGCAAAAGATTTAGGAATATTTCCTTCAAATTTGTTGCCGTATAGATCCATGCTAATAAGATTTTTCAACTTCCCCAACTCCTTGGGGATTTTTCCTCTTAGATTGTTACTGTAAAGCTCCCTGAATCCATGTAAAATTTCTACCTTGTCAAAAACATGGAAACATATATCACAATTTAATGATAAAATTGAGCTGAGAAGAATACAGATATTGCAGGTGATTGAGTTCACCAAGCTCTGAACCCAAACTTCCAGAAATGTTAGAATTGCCCAAGTCCCTGTATTCGAATTTAAATGAACAATACCAACAGGAAAAGGCAAAATTAAAGCAAAAACAACATAGGATTAATAATGATCTTACAAACGAACAACATGGTTGTTGGAATCACAAGTTACAAGGAACCAAGTACAAGGATTGACAAGAGTAGGATCCCAACTCTGAAGAACATTGTCGGGATCAGAAATTCTTGTTCTCAAACTATGTAAAGCATTCCCTGAAATTCAAATTCAAAAACAAGAAATCTGTTTACAAATTGAACAAGAAAAGAACCCTTTAAAAAATAAGAATTACCTTCAGAATTGGTGGATATTGAAGAAGAAAAGGAGAGGAGGAGAGGGAGGAAGAAGGAAAAGCCATTTTGGAGGGAGGAAAAAGACAGATGGTAGTGTCATAAGGTGTAAATTATACACAGAGAGAGAGAGAGAGAGAGAGAGAGGTCAAATTGGTAAACTTCTTGCTCTGGAATTTGTTGCGTATGAAATGTTCAGTGCATGATTCTCTTGTACCTTCTGCTATGATCATTGGTCCAACCGCAGCAGACTGAGGGCACCATACCACATTTTCTTCCTCTTGAATCTTGTCAACCATTTTCTTCTACAATCTCCACGAAAGACCTTGACTGACCCTAGCTATCGTTGACTCCAGTCAAATCCGGGATCTAGAGAAATAAATAATGGTTTTACTACATGTACAATCTTAAAATTGGGATTGACAACCACACATGGAAGGGGGTCCACGATGAATAAAAAATCGTGGATCTCCCTCCTGTGAAGAGGTTGTCAATCGAGATTATCAACTCCGATTGTACAATTAGCAAAATTCATAAATAAACACAAAAAATAAATAAATAAATTCCATGGATGCTAATTGGGCTTCAATGAATGACAAAACTTGGGTTAATTATTACAAGGCCCATTAATGGATATTCTAATTGAGACCAAAAATATTCTAACTATTAGGAGGCCCATCGGAGGCGGCCATCAGCTCCGGTGACTACTTCGACAACCTCTCTGATAATCACTTCAACGATTGCTCTGACTATCGAACGATCGCTCTGACGATTGCTCCGACTCTAAAGATAGAAAAATCTCCAAAAATTTATTTGTAACCAGATTTATTGTTCGTGACTATACCTGTGTTTTATGTTCCTATTTGTGATCAAATTTATTTTCTCTATGATTGTATGTATTTAACCAATTCACTTATCTATGTTATCAGTGATTAAATTTGTCTTTTATGCGACTAACAATGACAAAATTTGTATTTAGCGTAACTATCTTTAATCAAGTCAATCTTAACTGTGACCAAGTCACAACTAGTCACAATCAGCAAAAAATTAGTCATAACACAATCACAAAAAACACATACTTAATTACATGGGGTCACCACAAACAAATCTTCATACACCTCAGCAATCAACCACCATCACCTTCAATGCACAACCATCACCTTCAATGCACAACCATCACCTCACGAACGTCCTCAACATCAACACCACTACGGCCACCGCCAAGAACGGCAAATACAACCAACAAAACCTCCCTAAAAGATCTATAGATCAAAAATGAAATATCACACATAAAAATCAAGTAAGACCGTGCCGCTGCAGCAGAACCCGCGCACAACCACGCCACCGCCCATGGATTTACCGCTGTTGCAAGTACCACCACCTGGTTCACCTGAATTCTTGCAAGCACCATCGCAGTAACGACTGTGGCAAAGTAAGGCGCCACTACTCGCAACAGTAGCGATACCTTGCTATGCAGCTGCGCGTGGCGGTTCTGAAGCCGAAAGAGATGGTACAATGTGAAGGGAGGGATGGGTGGTGATGAGAGAGAGAGAAGGAAGAGATGGATTTACCGTTGTTGCAATTACTTTTCGTTTTTTTCAATATGTATTTAACTTATTTAACTATTATGTTACCATCAATGTACATATATATTTGACATATTCATTTCGTTTGTGTAATTTCATTAATATATGAATTCTATATTATTAATTAATATTCATATTCGTTTAGTTAATATTCATCTTCAATTATGCATTTCAATGTTTCTAATTATAAGTTAATTACAATTTCACATTCATGGGGTGTTTGAGAGCCATTTTTATGTAAAAATGTATTTTAGAATAGTAACTTGATGGGAAGTGTGTGGTTGAAAAATAAGGAAATGTTTTTTATTTACGTGTAATATTATTTTAATAAAGAATGTGTGATTAAAAGAAGAGAAAAAAATGTATTTTCAAAAAAATGGGTACCAAACAGGGGCTCAAAAATGCATTTCATTATTCACGTCCATGTGTACTAATTAACATCGAGTTTTACTTAATTGAAAATTAAATAAATGATTTAATATTTACGTATGTTCAAATATTACTTTTACAACAATTTTAAATCATATCATAATAACGTGCACTACACGTTGAATATTGACTAAATAGATAAAAGTGAAGAGCTACGCTCGTGTTAAAATAGAACAAAAATAAAAATAAAGAAAATGTTCACCGACCCACCATCTGCCTTAAACCAAAACCATCCAATTTTTGTAGATTTACGGTGCTAATAAAACTGACGCCCTTGCTTGAGCTCCATTATCTTAAAATACAATTTTCCCAAATTTATTTTCAATCACATATTCTTTCAATAAAATAATTTACACATAAATTTAAAACATTTCTTCCTTTTTAATCACACAATTTGCAAAAAATAACTATTACAAAACTTATTTATTTTTTTGTTAAAAATGAGGCTCTTGTTTTATTTTGCTTTTGAAATTATTTATCAAAAAAATTACTTGAAATTATTAGAGTACGTGTACTATAGTGGTTATATATTGGTATCTAGAAACTTGACGGCCTCGTGGGAAGAAGTCCTGCCCCAAACATCAAAAGAATGTTGTGCATGAGATCTATAATTCTTTTGAAATGAGTCGATTCTCTTCCTTTATATGAATTTGGGATCTGTATTGTCAATATTTTATAAACAGAGATTACCTCAAGAAATGGAAAGTAGGGTTGATGGTGTTTGTTGATGGCTAGATATATGGATTCTCAGATCTCTTTTATTCTCACCGTTGGCAGATTTTTGAAGTTGAAATTTCGCATGTTCTATGTTCTTCTTTTGGCTGCCAGTTTTAGCTTTCGTTGATTGAATAAAATACCATCTTTGATGATTTTATGGATGATATAAAATGAAGAAAAAACCATAAAAAAAAAAAAAAAATAACACAACAAAATTGAAGCATATTTTGATGCAGATGGCCAGGGCATCAACATCTAGTCATTCGAGTTTCAACCAATTGATCCGACCCAGGAGAGTTGACAAAACAAATATGTTGTAACACCATTTCTCTAATCAATCTAACAGCAAAATTCATAATCATTACTATAATAAAGACCCCATTACATATTTATTCTCAATGCAAAATCTTCCTCAATTTTCAGCAACACCTACGTGTTGAGCCTCTTTTATTCGTTTCTATCTTGAAGCCCTAAACCTCGTCGCTAATGTAACTATTTGATTCAAGATAGGACAACATCACCAGCCATCAAATTTAAGGAACAATCTTGTTAGCTTTTACCTTATCGATCCAAGAAATGAATGAATTTTTCGAATTCCTAAATCCCAGAAAACCATGCTCCTTGCTCTTGTTCATAGTATCCAACGGACATTCATTGCCAAGAGTAATATCACCAAACCACCAAATCCCAACTTCATTCAATTTAGTAGGTGTCAATCCATTCTTCTTCACTATTTCATCCCAAACTGGCCCTTTATCCTTCATTAATCTTTGCAATGACAGTTTTTGTCCTTCCTCGTACTCTCCACATTCTACACCGAATTGCTCAGCCAACTCTTTCCAGAAATGCTTCCATTTGAACACGTCCCCATTGCTCACATTGAACGCCTCATTCTTGGCATAAGGATCCACAGCAGCCCAGATTTGATGCTCCGCGATCAAATCAGCATCAGAGCAATCGGAATAGCCGTTCCAAGCAATCTTAGAACCTGGAAACCTCAATGGCACACCTTCATGCTTACAAATTGCTGCATAAACACAAAGGGTTCCGACTAAATTCATCATGCTATTAGGTGAAAACCCGAATATATTCCCGGGTCGATGAACTGACCATGTCAATCCTTCCTTCTTTTGAACCTCCTCAAACAAAATATCCTCAAGAGTATAGTAAAAATTTGGGTAATTCAACCGGGGTAAATCCTCATGGTAAGGAGTATCATTTGTTTTAATTTTGCCATAGGATTCAAATGGACCAATGTAATGCTTCCTTCCAGTCTGTAAACAGATATGCTGTAAATTAGGGCAATTAGGAATCAATACATCAAGCACATTCTTAAACATTTTCCCATTTGCATCGCAATTTTCAATCTCGGTGGATCTATTAGTCCAGGTGACATAGAACAGGTGGGTGACTTCAGTGAGAACAGAGAGCTTCGATTGGACATCCTCAGGATCCGATATGTCGCATCGGACATAATGAACAGGATTGTCGTCGTTCCACGACGGCCGAGGGCGGCGCGCCACGCCGTATACCCTCCATGGGCCACCGGGAGTGTCGGCGAGGGGGAGGATCTCGGCTAGACTGTTGCCCACGATGCCGGTCACTCCAATTATGAGCGCCACGCTTTGATGCTTCGGCGGCGGATCATCTTCTTCAAATTTCTTCTGTTTCAATTAATTATTGGATCAAATATATAAACATTAAACTCAAGAAGCTATTCCATATTCACATATACAAATTAAATAATCCATATACATCTTCAATGAATATGTTATTTCTTGCCTTTGCAGCGCCAATGGCTCCTGCCCACCACCAGCTCATTTTCAGCTACAAAAACGGAGGACTAGAATAATAGAGAGGTTTGCAATGAATTTTCTTTGGTGGAGTGATAATTTCTCGTGGAATAATATACACATTCAACTGATTTCTTGACGTGTAAAATTTTGCTTCATCCTAAACTCCAGCCGTCGGTTTATATAAATATTTACGATGGAAATTATGTTAATGATGTTTACATTTCAACTGATTTCTTGACGGGTTAAAATTTGCTTCATCCTAATCTCCCTCCGCCGGTTCATATTATTGTACAACGGAAATTATGTTAACGATGTTTAATTAATAAAAATTAAGTTATTTTTACTTGTTTGTTGACATTTTGGATTACCTGATCCCACCACTCCTCTCACATGAGATTGGGTCCCATGTAGGGGTCATGATGTGGGATCCGACCTTCATGTGAGAGAAGGAGGTGGATCCGAGTAAATCAAAGTGTGAACAAATAAGTACAAGTAGCATGACCCAATTAATAATTAGACTACAAGTTGGAAATTAATATGTTGACCAATGTGCATGCACTTTTTTATTTTCCTCATATTATTCAACACCCAATTTTTCTTTATCTATTTTTTTTTTGTGACGATCGTCAAGGAAATATCTTTTACTTTCTCGATCCCATAGATATAAACTTATTTTCCAAGAAAATGTATTTAATATAGTTGGAAACATAAATTTTTCTAAGAACGATGCATTGATTAAAAATCGAGAAAATTAATGAATCTCAGAGAATGTATAGTTGAAAATAATTTTTAAAAAAAATCCCTCCAAACAAAGCCTTAGTCTTCCTCTGTTTTAGCTTAGCTGGTCTTTTTACTCAATCTGTTATTAGCCATTTGCACTTAAAATATCTATTTGCTAAGAAGCCAACAATCGAATCATTATCTTGCTCTGTCTAAGAAACCAACGATCGAATCATTATCCTGCTCTGTCTGAGTTTTAGGAGTCTTTTGGTCTATTGAAGAGCCATAAAAACTATCTTTCAATACTTGAGGTGAATACGACAAGCGATCTAATCCTTTTGAATATTATATGTCGAGTCATAAAATGCATATTATCTGGACACAATTTCTTGTGTAACATGTCATAATCATTTAGGAGAAATAGGAAGTCTCGTGTTAAGAAATATGTCCACCTACCATTATATAAGCAATGAACCTAGCAATTGAAATAAAAAGTGAGATTAGCCAAATCACAAATCATCATACATTTTGTCGGCAAAAGCATAAGATAGATTCAGAATTTTGAAGACAGCTAACATTTCACTTTCAAAACCTACATTTAGATCACAAAGGCAAAATTACGCATACAGGCGATTTAAACTGGTCTATGAGGAGGAGCACTTTGATGTTTTTTAATAGTTATATCATCAACCAAACATGAAACAGCCTCATTTACAAAATCAAGTGCCTCTATCCTTGCAAGAAGTCGAGCCTGAAACTAAAGGACCGTACTACACGTACATAATGGTTTACCTAACCGTTTACACCCTACTCACATCATCTAGTTGGGGACCACGGCTCGACATTATTAAATACACGCGAGGCCCGCGTGTTTGTGAGAGGGGGGGTAAACGCTTCGGTAAACCCCCTCGGCACAAAGAGAATAATCCGAAACTAAATTACTTCAGGAAGTGAGGATTGATCAAACCAGCAATCTAGAGGAACCCAACACCGTCTCTTCCTCCAAAAATATTCTCCAGATTCTCATCGCAGATGATTACCTTCTTATCAGCAGGATATTATTATAGAGAGAAAGAGTGAAGTCAGTTTCTCGACGACATTGAAGTCAAAGAAGCAAAATCACGAGCATAACTTTGATTTTGTTTATATACAAGCTATATTTCATTAAATCAACTATTTATCAAGTGTATTATATCCAATCAAAAAGAAAGACAAAAACTTGGATTTCAGCCATGTAACTATATCATGGTGGCCAAAGAATCATACGGCAGATTGAAATTTTGATATAGTTCGGTGCTAAGTTGGAATACCATAGAAGATAGTTCATCCTTTCATATTCAACCCCCTCCTACCTCCCAAAACCACCTTTGAGGGGTTGGGGAGAGGTACACTAAGAAATTGAAACACGACAAAAGAATTGTTTTAAGTTATCCAAACCTAATTCAGTCAATACTAATAATAAGCCCCAATTTGATATAGATTAAAATCAGATTTTTAGTAGATTTTGATAAAAGTCGAGAAAATGTGTGGTTAAAAAGTTGTGGACCCCATAAAATGTGTGATTAAAATTAGTTGTTGACTTGACTTGATATTAAAATCAGAATCAAAAGGGGGCCAAATCTCAAAAGAAATACTCATAGTAACATATTGGCACAAAAATACAATAGGGTATCATCCTTAAAAGAGCCTTATTTCCAAGATGAGAGTCTTCGGTTTTTCCAGTTCATCAGGTTTTGTAATAAGCCCGCAGGCACAGATGAGATAAGTCAAGCATGATATTCAACAATAAACATCAAACGCAGACAGTCTAATGTTGGGAATCTACTTATACATGCACAGCGAAATTTAAAATTATTTCGATTCCCACCCAATAGATCTCATTGTGTTTGGTTAGGAATTGTGATAAGATTGTACCTTTTCCAGATCTGCAATCCTTTTGCTTTTCTTTTCGTTCCACAACTTTGATTCGCCACCACAGCTGTCCAATTGTCCAGCCTCCAACGGTGTGTGCAAAGGTTTGGAAAATCTCATGTCAACGACATTAGAGAGCTTGAGCAAGTTCTTAACAAACTTTTAAAAGTTGATATGCATGCCTTAAAAAAGGAAGTTTGTGAAATTGATGAACCCATTTCGGATGGCTTTTGGAAAGCCAAAAGAAGATTTTGAGACCCAAAAGCTACGCTTGGACCTGTTTGGCTAATTTTGTTAGAGTGTTTTTTATAGTTAAAAGAGCTTTTAGAGAAAACTGATTTAATGTGGCTTCCTCTAAAAGTACTACCGAAATGGGAAGTACTTTTAAATATTAGTTTTCAAACGAAATTACGGTCGCTTCCTTCAAAAGCTTTTCTACAAGAAGCAAAAGTTATGCCAAACGGCCCGAAATACAAGTCAAAACCTCTTCTACTGTTACAGTTGTCACCGCTGCCATTTTATTAAATTAGCAGTAGTGGCAATGAATTGACACTGACTTAAGTAAAGTGCATCAATTAGTTGTAAGGTGGTTTTTAAGAACCCCAAGAATAAATTATTTAATACTTGTGAATAATATATTAGTTCTAGATTATGAAATTCAATCTGGCTTCAATCACATAATGCATATCTGAAAGTCATTAAAATTTTGATAAGTTGTAACATTGTAATATTAAATTTAGTTATTTGTAGAAGACTAAGGCATGGAAAAATGTACAAGTATTGATTAATAAAAGATCAAAGAGCACGTATTAGTGAAGATCGTAGAGACTATTCTTACATAGGTAATTTTATTTTCATAAATTCTACGGGGTCTAAAATCTTTACATATTCCTCCTACTTATACTGCATTTTTTTAATCACTACTCTTATTTTTTTTCTAAATATACGCCATGTTTCCTTCCATATCTTCCATGCATCTTTGCAAGAGCAAATAACATTACTTATATAGAACTGTAATTTCTTCCTAAGTTGTTAAGGAGGAACCAAGGTTCACATCAATCGGAACTCCACCAGCAATTCCAGAACAGTCAAACTTGACGACACATGCAATAGTAAAGCTCGTTTAATGCAGCTAAAATAATCACATGACCAAATTTCAATCGGTTGGATGTTACAAAAAACTTATGAAAAACTCAATTCACAACAGTTGATAAATATTCATCAAATTTCAAATGCGTTCTTCTAATGTTTTAACGAACTTTCCAGGACAACTTCAATTTATTCAGATTCAGCCAAGTGCAACACAACTACGAAGGACCTCATGTTTCATTTTTTATTATTTCAAGCAAAAAATGCATAAACACAGGGTATTTAATGAAACTCTAAACTTACACTCAAATTATTGCAAAACAATGAACGCTTCCAAATATATTCAAAAACATTCAAAATCTCGTCAAACAATTTGAAAAATATTTATACGCATTTAGTTACCTGAAGGTCGTGTTGCTTAATGTAAGCCCAAATCTCTTTAAGCGCTTGAGTGCGGGAGATTTCTGAGACGCCTCCGAGAAACGCCTGCATTTCCGGAGATACTCGGCGGGGCTTCATTATGCCCCTTGGCTCGCGCTTGTTGGTCTCCGTGGCCGATTTCGATACTGCAGCCAAAGTCTCTGGTCATATTATGCGCAGTTTAGGAGCTAGCCTAACAGTAGACGAAATTTTCACCAACGGTATCGTTTCACCTGGCAAGAAGCTCGAGAAAACACCCAGGGAAATCGCCATTTTTTCAGAAATTTCAGAGTATAGTGGGAATAATTTGAAATGCGGAAGCGAGCGAGAAGATGAAAAGAGTGTAGCCAATGCCGAAAGGGTTTTTCGTTTGAGTTGAGCTGAGTGTACAGGATACGGTATTGAACACACACAACACCTGGTGCGTGGGTGAGTGAGGTTTTATTGATTTTTTATATCCCATGCGGAACTCACTTAGTGTGAGTGAGTGAGTGATCGAGCAAACTTCAACGATTTTGCTGAATTGCCAAAAAATGCTTGCCAGGGTGACCACCTCCCAGAATTGCTCTGGATCCCGCATGGATTAAAAAATGTCGACCTTCTGTGCATGTGTGTGTTCTGTCAAACTGCATGTCAAGTCCCATGTTGCTGTAGCTCGGTCCAAAGTTAAAACCCGCCTTTTATCAGTTATTTTCAAAATATATTTTCTCAATCTTATTTTCAATGACATTCTTCAATAAAATACAAATTTAATTTTTTTTATTTTTGTAACCATACATTATTTATCAAAATATTATCTTGAAATACATTTTGGACAGAAAATGAGGCTCAGAATATTCAAGAGTTATTTACCACAATACCCTCAATCTTTGGAATTTATTTAGAATAAAACTTCAAGTATAGAAAAAATCTACCAAAATAATTATCATGAAAGTGGCATAATGTGATTGAATTATTTTTTTCATCTTCCAATGATGGATTTTTATGTGTTGTCTCTAAGGATTTTCAGTCAAAAAAATTTGTACTTGTGTCGTGATTTTTTTTATTTTTTATTTTTAACAACACCTGATTCCCTTTTTCTTTTCTTTTCGTTTTTTTTTTTTAAATGTAAAATCTATCTCAGGTCCTAAACCGGTGAGGGAAAATTAGGCAACCACCCAAACTGAAAAATCAGGCACTTCATTATTTTAATTCAGGAAGAACTGCATCTTGGGTCTCAAATATTTCAATTTATTGCATGTTATACTCAAATTTTGATTTTTGCACTCGTAGTTCCAAACTTTTTCATCTCGATTGTACCTGGAAGACATATGGATGAAATTCATCCATTCCTCCAACAGTCAATTAAAAAAAAATCATTTGGACCGCATTTCCATTGGTTTTCAAAGGGAAAAATCGTAAGTTTATATTTCTCCGATAAATTAATAAAATACCAAAAAAATAATAAAATAAAATTATAAACCATTCATATTTTAAAAGCACCCCACGATCATCCCATCCCCAACCTCGAAGACCAAACCCAATACCGACAGAGGTTAGATATGGCAATGAGTCGAGCCGACTCGGGTCCATTGCGCACAAGCTCGGCTCGTCAAACTCATGCTCGAGGGCCGAGGTCGCCCCATAAGCTCACCTTTTAAAAAAAAATAAGTAATATTTTCCATGTCAATCAAACGCACTCTTAGTGTGAGTGAGTGAGTGAGTGATCGAGCAAACTTCAACTATTTTGCTGAATTGCCAAAAAATGCTTGCCAGGGTGACCACCTCCCACAATTGCTCTGGATCCCACATGGATTAAAAAATGTCGACCTCCTGTGCATGTGTGTATTCTGTCAAACTGCATGTCAAGTCCCATGTTGCTGTAGCTCGATCCAAAGTTAAAACCCGCCTTTTATCAGTTATTTTCAAAATATATTTTCTCAATCTTATTTTCAACGTCACATTCTTCAATAAAATACAAATTTAATTTTTTTTATTTTTGTAACCATACATTATTTATCAAAATATTATCTTGAAATACATTTTGGACAGAAAATGAGGCTCAGAATATTCAAGAGTTATTTACCACAATACCCTCAATCTTTGGAATTTATTTAGAATAAAACTTCAAGTATAGAAAAAATCTACCAAAATAATTATCATGAAAGTGGCATAATGTGATTGAATTATTTTTTTCATCTTCCAATGATGGATCTTTATGTGTTGTCTGTAAGGATTTTCAGTCAAAAAAATTTGTACTTGTGTCGTGATTTTTTTTATTTTTTATTTTTAACAACACCTGATTCCCTTTTTCTTTTCTTTTCATTTTTTTTTAAATGTAAAATCTATCTCAGGTCCTAAACCGGTGAGGGAAAATTAGGCAACCACCCAAACTGAAAAATCAGGCACTTCATTATTTTAATTTAGGAAGAACTGCATCTTGGGTCTCAAATATTTCAATTTATTGCATGTTATACTCAAATTTTGATTTTTGCACTCGTAGTTCCAAACTTTTTCATCTCGATTGTACCTGGAAGACATATGGATGAAATTCATCCATTCCTCCAACAGTCAATTAAAAAAAAATCAATTGGACCGCATTTCCATTGGTTTTCAAAGGGAAAAATCGTAAGTTTATATTTCTCCGATAAATTAATAAAATACCAAAAAAATAATAAAATAAAATTATAAACCATTCATATTTTAAAAGCACCCCACGATCATCCCATCCCCAACCTCGAAGACCAAACCCAATACCGACAGAGGTTAGATATGGCAATGAGTCGAGCCGACTCGGGTCCATTGCGCACAAGCTCGGCTCGTCAAACTCATGCTCGAGGGCCGAGGTCGCCCCATAAGCTCACCTTTTAAAAAAAAAATCTCCTTTTTCGATCATAGGATCGACTACTCAATATTTGAATAAGTGAAGTTAAAATTTTACGTGAAAATTTGGTTACAAGTACAATTTTTTTTAAAAAAAAAAGAAAAAACTAAAATATTATTAAGGAAATAATGAAGAATGCATATAACGAAATTAAATATTATCACCTAACTATATGCAATTTCAACATATTTATTTTGTATTCTAAAATGAGCGTCTTGCCAATTTTTTTTACACGTTAAGTTTTTCGAAATATCTTCTTTGAGCCAATTGCTGAAATCGAACGAAACTTGACCACTTGCACTAAGAGTAGATTTCGTAGCTACAGTACTAATGGAGGTGTTAGTAGATCACGAGCAATCACAAAAATAATGAAATATGTGTGTTCGCGGTGTGACTAAAAATCAAGTAAATCAAATGCAATTGCATCCACATGTTCTACAGACTTGAGCATTTGATTATTCAAATGTCCATGTAACTTAGCAGGCATTTCAGTTGAAAACTAAACTTGCATCTGATATCTGATTATATGCATGAAAAATACTAGAAGAAACATGCATCAAATCTTTTATTTTTAATATCTTTGAATAAATTCGATATTTCCCCATCAACTTCTTGAAGATTAGCGTTAGGAGAGGTAACGTTCACACCCAACCATCGTGCATACAATTTATAATTGACGTTAACGTGTTCTCTAAATTGGAATAAGTGATACGAGCATAAAAATTTAAACATTTTGTGATTTTTCTAATAACATGTTTAGTACCTTTCAAATCGTCAAGAATAGGGATGTCGTCAAGATGAAAAAAATAATTATGAAATTGAAATTGTGGAGTCATGTGAGTTGCCATCTAACAAGCCCTCGACATAAGAATTGGGATCCGTTTGTACAAAATAAAATTGAAATGTATGAAGGTGAAATATAATTATAGTAATATAGAAGATATGAATGATGGAATGTAAATATGTAATGGATGAATTATAAAATTGAGATAAAGTGCGAAAATATGAAGAATGAGAAATGCTGTAGATGAAATAAATTGAATTTGAGATTTGAGAGGGAATAATTAGATTGTAGATAATCCAGAGATGTTTGTAGAGAATTGGTGTGAAAAAATGAATTGAAATGAGAAGTATTTATAGAGTCTTAAAAATAAGAAAATGAAATAAAAGAATTGGTGTAATCTTTTATTTTCATTTTTATTTAGTTTTTAATTATCTTAGTGAAAAAATATAAATTTAAAATTTATCCTTTTAAAAATTAAACAAAATATGGTCAAATTGATTTTTTTGAGTTGATTAACGGAGGAATGGACAGTTCCCGTCCATGTCTTCCAGCCACAATCAAGATGGAGGTTTGGGACTATGAGAGGCAAAATGAAAGGCTTGATTATAGTTTGTAACAATTTGAAAGGTTTGAAACCTCATCTGCAATTTCTCCTTTTGAATTATCGTGATTTTTTTTTTACAAATTAAGCCCCTGTTTGTTTTCCATATTTACTTCACTTTCAGAAGAAATAGAGCCATTTTCAAGTTCATCTAGCATGATTTCTTTAACTTACATCTCACATTTGACTTAGAAAACTGTGCAAAACGGTTGAAAAATCCATTTTCATTTTGAAAAAATGTGCAGCAAACACAGGCTAAACGTTAATTATTAGGGCTTAATTTGGAGGGGATTAAAATAATTTTTTTAGTTGATTTTGATAAAAGTTGATGAAATGCGTGGTTGAAAAATTGCAAATCTCGTAAAATATGTGATTAAAATTAATTGTTGATTTCGCCTATTTATAATTTAGACTTTACTCTCTATCAAACAAGAGCTAAAAATTGCAATAAAAATCCTATTAAGTATGTCTCCATAAATCTACACCATCGTAACATATCCAAGAAAACTCCATCGAAAAAATCTTTCCTTTTATCAAATTGATTCTCAATCGAAGATATCTTCTAACCATAATTGTTTGTTCATTTTTCACAATTCTGTGAAGGATTCATCATCCTCCACGATTATTATGTCCAAACTCGTACACTGTTCCCAGGAGATAGTAGAAATTGTAATTTTGTCATCACTTGGAGTTCGAATATACCCAAAGAATGAAAATCAACTGGAAAAAGGCAAAAAAATGTTCTAAAGATAGATTGTCTGATATTGTACAAGGAAAAGATGTTCGTCAACGCGTGTTTTCAGATGACGACCACATTTCGGGGATGCTTGCACTTTAACTCGTGTGTCCAAATAATAACCGTTAGTTTAGATTTGTGACTATTGTTAGTCCAATGTAACCGATTATTTGATTTTGAATCAATTTTTGTTGATACTGGATAGGAGGTTTTTAAGGTCACAACAAATGAAAGAAGGTTCCTACACTATTGCGGATACATCTTCTTTGAAATAAACTAAAAATTACATAATTTCTAATATCTTGTGTTTTGCATCTCATTGGATATTATACTGTCAACTTTTTATTTTGAAAAGAGGCCTGTCGATGGCAGGCCCCCCGCCAACGGCTTGTTGAGGCCGTGCTCGGTAATAGGGTTCAGATGGATAGATCTGGGGCTAAGGCTCGTTTAAAAACTAGCCGCACGAGCTGGACCAATTGAGGCGGAGGCACGTTAATTAGGATGCTTGTAGCTTAAGAATAATAACAAAAACAGAGAACTAGAAAAGAAGATTTGATTACGTGGAACGTAGGAAGAAACGAAAGCAGATCGAGAGAAAGAAAGTTTATCCGAAAAAGCAGTATAGCTGTAGGAGGTTAGAGGGTAATATCAGTCAGTGCGCACAAATGATTGTTGGCCCCAAATGTCTTCATCCCTTTCAATCCACGCCAACATTTTTTTTCACATAATGCTAATTATGAGGTGATTTTCACAAAGAGCAATGAAGATGTGATTTTTCGAAAAAAGAAAAAGATACCTATGAATTTTGTTAATTGACCAACTATAAATTTGTAGCATGTTTGGCAAGAAATTTAAAAAATCGAATAATAATGCTATAATTGTCAAACGACAAAATGTTGAATATACGAGGACAATATGATCATATAACGGAGATTTTAGATAGTTTTTATTATTTAAAAAATAATTATTCAACTATAACGAAAAAGGTTAGTGACTAATTTGTTTCTTTTAAAATGTTAGAAATTATTTATTACTTGAACGTGCAATCAATAGTCCCTCTAGTAAAAAGTTGAATAATGTTGTATAAAATTAGTAGTATTACGTGTCAGTGTAAATGTCAGCATATTATACGTTCTATTAACTAGGTCATAAACTACTATATTTAATTGAATCTATAATTTTATGTCCAACGGTGCTATGGTGATCGAATTTTGTTGACATAATGGGTGATTGACACTCACAATAAGAGGGGGGACTACTTTTTCGGACATTGTGAAAGGATGTCAGCCATATGTCAAAAAAATTCTGACAAAATAGTTTAATTGATTTAAGCCATCGTTGTTATCACCTAGACTAAATTGATGCTAAGTAAAATTATTCGCTGCGTTGACAATGTGCTACGTTCAAATTAATTGAATGATTAGTTGGTTAAGGGAAATGATGATGAAAGGACGGTGAATTGGTTTGTAAGCAAAAGAATTGTGTGAGTGGAGCTTTTCTTTTCTTTGCTTTTCAAATCAATAACAACCAAACCAAACCTAGGCATCATCGATTATCTGTCACCTTTAATTACTATTTGTGTGGCGCAGGCGCACTATAATGGCAACTATCTTTTTAATTTTGAGCTGTACGCTGTCCCTTAATGCACGCATGTCCCTTAGAAAATAAAATGGAAAACAGCACTTTTATTTTATTTTATTTAATAATAATCGTCATCCTTTCATTCAAAATAATGAAAAAGAAAAAACCAAGTCATACGAGCATGTAATCGATAATTAGCTAATTTTGGAATCTGAACAATAGAAAATGAGGTGGGAAACCCAGCACGAACCAAAACACTGGGAGAGATGCAATGGGAAATCGGGACAAGAGCGAGGATGGGAGCATGTCGACTATACACTTGTTATAAAATTAAATGATAAATGATCATTTCGCTAAAATTTGAAAATGGGGATCGAACTTGCTACATTTCTCATAAGTTGGGCTGTGGAGGTAATTTTTTTTTCTAAAAAGTAAACAAAATATAAGTGAAAACTTGAGGGGTGCAAAATACATTATTTTGCCAGCGGATCATCATTATTTAACTTGATTACTAAGAAATTTATCCATGAAATCGTTTACAACCTTCGGATTTAACCTGTTAATCATTTTAATGTTAAAAACTTGTTTTCAACGGTTGTCATCAACGAAATCATGAAAATCAGTAGGACCCACCTAACCACAGGGAAGAACAGGCTTTTGCATTTGGTAGTCACAACTTCCATCCCTTGTGTTACAACTGACGCCAACTTTATTGAGTTAATTGTTCCAATTGTCACGGAACTTAGATCCAAATTTTTTATTGATCATTGAAATTTAAAATATCAAATTTTGGTTATTAAACTTAGATCCATATTTTCAATTGTTCACCAAAATTTAAAATATTGAATTTTGACAACCGAACTTTAAAAATTTACTCACTGAAAACTTGACATTTTTCAAAATTCAATATTTATACTAGTGAGTAATACACAATATTTTTTAAAGTTCAATAGTCAAAATTCAATATTTTAAATATAGCAGGTAATCAAAGACATGAACTTAGGTTCAGTGATCAAAACTCGACATTTTAAACTTTAATATTAAATCAAAGATATGTAACTAACTTCAGTGACCATTGGAACAATTAATTCAACTTTGTTCAGAAGTAGCCACCTATCCTTTTTACTCGTCTACGGCTCCATACCGTACAAAACTCGTCTTTTTCCTTTAAACCCACTTTATACGTGCATATAATCTTCCTATATAAACCGTCCCACCCATTCCGCTCTCAACAAACCCCCCTCGCTCATAACGTTTTAGTGAAAAGTTGCATTACTTTTAGTGCGACAATGGATACAAAACGGGCGATATTAATGGCTTTTATCTGCATTGTCGTCGCCGGAGTCGGCGGTCAATCTACCGGATCACCGCCAAGTCCAACTACACAGGCGCCGCCAGCCCCAACTACACAGGCACCGCCAAGTCCAACTACACAGGCGCCACCGGCTCCAACTACACAGGCGCCGCCAAGTCCAACTACACAGGCGCCTCCAGCTCCAACTACACAGGCGCCGCCAAGTCCAACTACACAGGCGCCGCCAAGTCCAACAACACAAGCACCACCAAGTCCAACCCCTGCCTCCACACCACCACCAGTAGCTACTACACCTCCACCCACGTCCTCTCCACCCCCGGCGGTTACATCTCCGCCTCCAGTTACCGCTCCTCCCACTCCACCTGCTTCACCTCCACCAGTTGCTACTCCACCTCCATCGAGTCCGCCGCCCCCTGCTAGTCCTCCACCACCTGCTGCTCCCACACCTGCACCACTAGCTTCTCCGCCAGCTACGGCACCAGTTGCGACTCCAACCACATCTCCTGCGCTATCTCCGTCTTTGACGAGTCCTGCGAATCCATTGAACGGATCTCCGGCCCCGAGTATCCTGGCTCTTTCTCCTGCTCCAATATCAGCCACTGATCAGGTACACGCCCTCACTCACAACTATATTACTCACGCCATGTATTCCAATCACAACTTGCGCCGATCGTGCACTGTGCGGCACTTTGCATTCTCGTAAATCATGGAACTAATGTACCTAGATTTAGTCCAGTTCTACTAGAGATGTTACTGTTCTTGTTGAGGTGCGTGTCGTTCAAGGTTCACGTTCTGATGTGTCCCTTGTGGGTTCTTTTTTCATTAGAAGATAAAATTAAAAATGCTCAGAAAACATTTTTAAATTTGCCCCTGTTTGAGCTTATTTTTTTGGATATATACTTAACTAAAACTAATACTTAAATCAAATTATTCTGCTTCTTTTATATTTAAGCAGAGTGGAGCAGATTCGACATTGCAGAAGATTAGTGGGAGCTTTGTCTTCGGAAGTGCTTTGGTCTACTTGCTACTTTAGATCTGTTTTTCTCTCCATATTCACATATATATTGCTGTCTTATTATTATTAGTCCCTATTGTTATGGACGTTTTTACTTGTACTTGATGATGATACATTGATTTTGATTCTTTTGTTGGGGCTTTTGTATTGAGAAGAGTTATTTTGAATGAGATTATCTTTAGCTTATGCCATTTTCACCCCGGAATTCTGTGTCAATATTGTTTTTGTACGGATAAACAATAGTTTAAGAAATCATTGGGGCTTGGAAAAAAATTGCATCATAGGTCTCATTTATTGTACTAGTGACATATTGGTCCTGAGTATTAAAAAAAGAACAAATCAATCTCTAACTTTATCCCCTGTTTAGTGGGGATTAAAAATTCAATTTTCAGATTTTTTTTAATTATAAAATTTGATAAAATGTGTGATTAAAAATTTGTGAGCACCATGAAATATGAGATTGAAATTAATTGTTAACTTTGATTTAAATTAAAATTTTGATTCTAACCAAACATGAACTTAATTATACTAGAACAATGTATTAAAAAGGAACAAATTGAACTCTTAACATTTACTAGAACAATTTATCCATGGATACGCCTCGCAAATATATGTTGAATAATCATCCGACCCTTATATATAAAAGTTAAAAAGAGATATTTTCACAATGTTTAGACGATTTGATCAAGTTGACGTGACCACCAACTTATTAGAGCACCAACTTATTAGAGCATCTGTAACGATGGTATAAAATTAGGTATAAATTAAATCTTCAAAATTATTTTTGCATCATCATTTACATTTCAGTGCATCAAAATTCAAATTTTACTCTAATGAAAAATTTAAATTAACTTTTTGTCTCTTGTGGATCTAAAATAAAATTTGAAAAAAAAAAAAAAGTTCCTACCAAAAAATGCAATTTATATTTCCTTTGCATCTTTTCATTGAAATTTTTTTTGACCATTTTAAAGATCTAAATCACAATTTAAATCTAGTTTACACAACGATTGAAGACGCTCTTAGCAGTTTAATAAATAAAGATGCAAGTATTACAATAGTTTGGGATCACTTGAAGTACTTATCCAACTTCAATTATTTAATTATGGGCAAATGCACTGCTTCATTTTATTATTATTATTATTATTATTTTATTTTTATTTTTAGCTATATGAAGATGGATTATTAGTAAATAAAAATTTAAACTATACTATTTATTAATCATCTAGAAAGGAAAATAGTGGACAATTAATTTTAGAGGGTTGCTGCATGTACAACAGTTTTGACAGCCCTCTCACGTATAGGGATGGGGCCCACGATTATTTTAATCGCAAGACCCACTTTTGTGAGAGGGCTGTGAAAATTTACAGCATATAAATGTTGTACAAATGGCATTTCTCTTAATTTTATTAACTTGTATTATAATGGCAATATTTGACAATTAGTGCTTAATCTAAAATAAAAAACCAATTATATTTTATTTGTTAAAAATAGGTTAAGAGGTCATCAAAGTCCCTGCTTGTCACCCATTATTTGAGAAATTAAAAGAGTTTTGAATAAAATATTTTAGAGATTGTATGGTTAAAAAGTAAATAAATTTTATTAGTTTGTATGTAAAATATTTTATTGTGTGAATGTGTGGTGAAAAATGATATTGTAGCAAACAATTTAAAAATTTAAAGAGTGACAAATAGGCACTCAAATTAGAACTCTACCCAGATAATATTTTTATATCAATTTTACTACATTTACATCAAGTTTTGACATTATTGTGAGATGACAATTTTTTATACATTGATTTTAATAATACTTTGAACAAAAAATAACACATTTTGACACGCTAGTCAAAATTGAACATGCATTGCACGTTATACTATGCTAAATTATATTTGTTGGAGGATTTGATAAATCTCGAACGAGTTAAATAAAATATAATTTAGCATAGAAATTCAAGAGAACAAAATTGTACTTAAATTGCACTCTCAAAACTCAATTTCTATGAGTCAAATTTTTTGTAATGATAAAATAATATAAATGAGTAATATTTTTATATTACATTTGATACATACAACTTAATTGTTAATACATAAATTTGAACATTCATTAAAATTTTCAAATACATGAATATTAATAAATTCATCTATAATAACTTTGAATTCATGTAAATCAAGATTCATCGAGTGAAAATTCTAATGTTAATGTTAATTAATTGAGAATGAATAACACAAATTTCATAAATGACAATAATTTTGTAGTATTTATTACATATCGAAAAATAAAAAGTAACATATTATTTAAATAATTGAATCGCAGCGATATTAAAATCGTCTAAAAAATAATTATCTCTTGATGTGATATTTTAATATATTATAGATTATAGAGATAGATTTTGAAATATCAAATTTAATGTACACAAAGAGTGTGCGTGTAGTTTAATTCTTTTTATATAAGATATGACTTGCAGCTCTTTTTTCTTACATGTATTTCCATTTCTAAGAAAGAGAGAGAGATTATTAACCCTTATTTTCCTTCTCCTGTAATCCCTTGAGTCTTGACTATGGACGGTTATATTCATGACATTTTTTTTCATAATACACTATAATTATATTAAAGATTTTTAGTCATTATTTGATCCTCATTATTTTTAAAATACATTTCTCTTTATTTTATTTTTAACCATACATTTTTCAATAAAATAATATTACACGCAAATTCAAATTTTTTTTTATTTTTTAACTGCATATTCTCCATTAAAATACTCTTTATTTATTTTTATATTTATTCCTCTAGCTTTTTCCTTTTTTCCATATTTTTATCTTTAATATTTCGTTAACTTAGCAAACATTGTCCTTAATCATGTTCTTCGTTTAAAAATACAGTTAACATGCTTTAAAACGAAGCATAAGACAAAAGGGCTTAGTTTGAGGTGACATGGTATAGGCATTGGATGGGTGCAGGGACGGATCCAGGATTAAATCCAAAATCGGGCTATAAAATTTCAAATCAAGCTACTACATGGAAAAAAAAATTTTACACATAAAAAATTAATTTTTTACCAAAAAAATAAAAAACATCTTAAAAAAAATCCTCTTGGACCTTGGGAGGGGGGGGCTACAGCCCAGCCCTCCTAAATCCATCTCTGGATGGGTGGCAATGGTGGTCGACCTTTGGGGCGATAGTTTTGGTTTTGGGGTAAGGGAATGGAGCGAGGGGGGGACGCGGGGGGCGGGGGTGTGTTGAGGAAGGAGATGGGTGGTTGGTTTTGGTTTTGGTTTTTTCATTTAATTATTATAATTGCGTTTTTGGTGATAAAGTGTAAAGTTATCAATTTAGCATTTTAAAAATTGATCAACATATGTCAAAGTTCACTATTCTAATCAACTAAGGCCATGTTTGATAGCAACTCTTTTCCATGAAACTAGGAAATGCAATTCCATTTTTCATATTTGCGGCTGTTTGATAGGGAAAATTTTCTTGGCAATTAGTTTTTCATTTTCTTCCGACATGTGACATTTTTCCTTGTTTTTAATGAATTGGTTTTCTTACCGTTTTGGTGGTTTTTGGTTTTCTACCTTTTTTTGTGGCAATGGGAACGATTGTAAAAGATAATATTCCTTAAATTGACAATTTTTATGTAAAATAAAGCCAAACGAACATCAAAATGCAGATTTTTTGGATTTGGTTTTCTTTCTCTCTTCTTTATTTTATTTATTTATTTTACAGTGGAAACAAATTTCATGACCAATTGTAAAAGTGAATATCTTTTAAATTGACAATTTTCATAAAACACAAAGCCAAACGAATATCAAAATATACATTTATTTTAATATTTTTCACGTGAAAAATTATACCAATCGAACACAATAATTGACAATTCCCAGTAAAATAATTTCTAGGCAATTCAATTCCCTAAAATTCGTTTTATTTCCACCTAAATTCCTTATTTACAATCAAATGGACCCTAATGATAAAATGGATGGAAACATCCATATGTCCTTCCAATTGGACTATTTTAAATGTTTGGGGCTATGAGCATGTAGTACAAACTAAACCCTTGTTTGAATCTTATTCTTTTAAAAAAATTATTTTTTCAAATTTCATTTTCAACCACACATTTTTCAATAAAATAATATTACACGCAAACTTAAAATTTTTCCTTAAATTTTAACTACATATTCTCCATCAATCACTATTTGAAAATGAATTCATTCCCACAAAATGAGGCTCAAACAAGGGTTAAATGTTCAAGCAAAATCAGTGAAAAAGAAAGGCTTTGGACCGTGCTTGCAACTTTCCCTAAAAAATATTGAAGGTGTGTTGTGATTTCTACTATGGCGCAAACTTCCACCATGTGACCATATATTACCGTTGTGATCTTGGAACGATCATTTAAGCCCTTGTTTGAGCTACATTATTTCATAAGAATGTATTTTATAATAGTATATCAATAAAAAAATGTGTGGTTAAAAAATAAGGAAAGTTTTGAATTTGCGTGTAATGTTATTTTATTGAAAAATGTGTCGTTGAAAAAATATCAAATCACTGTTTCAATTTTATTATTATTATTATTATTATTATTTTTTTTTTTTGAAAAAATGTGACTCAAAAAATTCCTAATAAAAATGATTGTGAAATCAGACTCATTCTTATCGCATAGTTGCGATCAATTTACATAGCATGAGTTAATGTGAGATGTGACAATTAATTGTGAGTCTGTCTACTGCTATAACGTAGAGTTACGACATATTTATGTGACCAGTGTTTTATGTATACATAAATGGTTGTGTAATGTGACCATTGTGACATTTAGTGGGATGTTTAGCAACATATAATTTTGTTTCACACGAATTGTATCCTTTCTATATTGCATAGATGTGACCACAAATTTATCATCATTTAACCGTGTAAATAAAAAGATAATGATTGATTTTTTTTTTAATATTGATGCTACCAAAAATCATACCTGATAGATCTCGAACTGAAGGTTTGAGCTTCTAGCTTGGATGAACACGAATTGTCTTCTGATACCTAAAACAAAAAAGCAACGAAGTGTGTTCTCGTCATCCGTCTAATACTTAAGTCAGACAGGGAATTTAGTGTATAAAGTTATGAATTGGAAGTAATAAAAAACGTACCTGAATAATGAGTCTTGGCCACGTATTTATAGATGTTGGTGATAGAGTCATAGAACGATTTAGCTACATGTAGTCCTTTTCTTCGTTGGGCAAGGTGTTTGAGTTTCATTCAAAGTATCTCATTTGAATTTGAATCACACAGGAAATGAGTTAAATCGTTATGATGAGGATCCCCAGGAACTTCAGTTGGAATATGACACTTATTTACTTTAAGTCACGTTGTTGGACATACAGCCCGATCAAAATATAAGGCCCGAGTGGTCCGACCTCATAGGTTGGTGACATGTGAGGGGTTGAGATCAGGCTACATAGGTCGAGTTCGGGAACCAAAACTCTGAGTCATCAAATACAAACTGACTCTACAATTTATCCTCATGCTATATCTCTCTAAAGAAAAAAACATATATTTAAATTATCAGAGCAATATCAAAAATATTTCCAAAAAAAATTATGAACGAAATTTTGAATTAATTAAATTCCTAAACATCTTATTTGAGTTTTTATTTTAATCACTTAATTTGTCATAATTGAAAGTTAAATATCCAATAGTTTGATTGCACCCCAATTCCATTAAAAATCCAATTTCCACCTTTTTTTTTTTGTTCCTTTTATGTTTGATAGGCAAAATTTGGAATGGAATTGGTTCTCTCTTTTTCTTCATATGGTCACATTTTCATGGTTTTTGGGGAATTTCTTGTCCCACGGCTTTGGTGGGAAATGGTTTTCCCCCTTTTTTTTTGTTTGTTTTTTTGTTTTAATTTTTGGCAATGGGAATTTTTTTTAGGAACAATTGTAAAAGAAAATATCCCTTAAATTAACAATTTTCACGCAAAACAAAGTTAAACGAACACCAAAAGATAAATGATTTTCTTGAATTTTTTGGCAATGAAAACACACTTCATCCTTAATACCAGTAAATTCTATTCATTTAATTGACAATTTTCATTTAAAACAAAGTCAAACAAACAAAAAAGACTTTTATTTCGACATTTTTCACGTGAAAAATTATATTAATCAAATATAATAATTTACTATTCTTAAGAAAATAATTTTTAGACAATTTAATTCATCAAAATTCATTTTTTTTCAGTTAAATTCTATTTTCGCAATCAAACGGACCCTTAGTATAATTTTCAATTACTTGATTGAGGTCCATGTAATCGTGTAAAGCCCAATTAAAAGGCATGCTTACCCAACAATGACCCATATCTCATCTCATAGGAGAGGGAGACGGTCGGCTAAGGTTTTCTTCATCGGTATTACGCTATAGATTTGGGGAGAGGCAAAAAGGGAGACATATTCGTTTGCACCAATTTATCTTGTGTTGCAGTGATTTCTACTCAGCTTCTTCATCTACATAATTCGAAGGTAATCGGAATTATTTTATTTTATTTTATTTATTTGTTTATTAGAGAATGGGCTTTATATGTTGAAATCGCACTTGATCTGATTGTTGTGAATGATTTAATTTCAACTCAACTCCTTATAATTTAATACTTGTATAGTGTCTTGATGATAATCTTTCTCTAGCAACAGTGATTTTTCGACAACTTTTCTCTTTAATTTTTTATGCGGTTGTTTATGATTTTCTCCTTGCGTTAAAGAAATAGATGCCCCTCAAGTGCAATAGGTGAAATACCTAGGAACAAGATCCAGTGGGGTATCCTCCAAATCGCAAACCTCAACTTTGCAATTATATGATGTAATGGTTATTTTTAATTTTTCAGATGTATAGCAAATTTTTTATTTTTATTTTATTTTTTACTTTGCAATTATCTGATGTAATGGTTATTTTTAATTTTTCAGATGTATAGCAATTTTTTGATTTTTTTTCTCAGATTTATCCAAACCTAAATTCTGTATAAATTTCAGAACGTTATACATGAACGTTGAAACTGAAAATTTGTTTGCTGTGAGAAGAGGAGGATTTAATTTGGAGCCTATTAGCGAGGAAAAACCAAGCTGGTCCCAACCTGAGCTCAAAATTAAGACAAAAAATTAGCAATCCTACAGTTCTACAACAATAGAGAATATATACAGCTTTCACGTTGACACTGCATGACAACATATTTGCATTTGTACGGATATTTTGAACTTTTAACAGATGCAGATTAGTTTAATGGTCATGGTCATTAACCAATAGGAAATGGAAATATTAACCAAGGATATTATTTGTTGGCTGAATGCTTGTCCCTTTTAGATTTTTTTTGCTATTAGTTTGAAACTGGACGTGTCAGTATGATAAATTCGATACTCTTGTTAGTAGTGATGTTTCATTTGGAAACCTTTTAGAGTCCGAGTTTTTACCTACTTATTTGAAACCACGTCTGGTTATCTATTTTTCGTGCTCTCTTTTGTGAGAGCTTTATTGTTGCTTTGAACTTTTTCTTTGGAAAAATTCATTTTGGCTGAATTTCTCATTAACTTCAGAAGTTGGCAAACATGGTATTGTATCCATGAAATTTTGCTTAGTGTTTACAAGTAAATCTCATATTTTGTATTTCCTTGGTTATAGTATATTATGGGCTTTTTTTTTTTTTTTTGGGTCTTGAGTTTTAACCTCCTCTAGTATTTGATTATATAGCTCTGTCCCTGTCTCCCTGATGGTTGGTAAGAACCTTCTTTTTTCCGGTTCTTCAAAATACTGGATAAGCTCTTCTTCCCCCCTCCCCAAGCTTAGGATATAACAATATGGCTTCTTCTCCTTATTAACTGCAAATTCGCAATGGCTGATTTTTTGAACCAATGTCTTTCATATTTTTCAAAATTTTGGTGATTTTGTTTTCTTAATATGGTAAAATTGATCTCTTTCTGCTTCTTCCAAGTTGTTGCTGTTTGAGTTATAAATAATATTTTACAATTTATTAATTTTTTCAAATTAAGTGAAATAAAATAGCTGCTTTTTAAACACCAACACTGGGTCACTGTTTCATAAAGCAGCAGCAGATCTTTTAACAAGGCCTCGCTGTTTATATTGACCTCCTAGTAATTGATATTCCTAAAATACCATCTTCCTCACCATTACCGCCAGTACTTCAGATCTAATTAAGTATTAACTCAGAAAGCGGAATTTTCAGGCCCCAGGTAATGCCATCTGCTGTGGTTAAGTGCCTGGCAGAGCAGGATAATATTCACTATCAAGATTTGAAGGAAATATGACAAAACGTTAGAAAAAGGTTTTCACCCTGATAAAGAATCCTGAAACTTCATGTGATATATTAAACATGAACGGTATTTTTGATGCTGCAGATTGTATGGGCCTCTTAGTGTGTCTTTATATGTTTTAATAAAGTCGAAATCAATCACAGAACCATGAACAAGATTATCCCACCTCCTTGCTACAGAAACTCTGTACTTGTTTTCCACAGTCAGGGTGTCTTGTGGACTTCTTATATGGAGTTTCCGGAGCTCAGAGAAGGGGGGACACGGTGTGGGGATTGGGATTGGGGTAGGAGGTACAACCATCTTCTGTAGTGAAGAAGCTAAAGGCACAGTAGTAGTGGAAAATCTTTTCTCTAAAGGGGTTAAATTGAATGTTTTCACCACACAATTTAAAGGAAGGCCTTATTCCAAGGACAGTGGAAAAGGGCCTTATTCCAAAATTTTGCCCACACTTCTGATGAACCACTTCTGTTGTATTGCTTTAACAGAAATTTTCAAAGAATTATTATATTCTGCTTTCTAAAATATGTTCTGGTGGATTTATTGTGTTCTTACTTTTTATTTTTTTAGGGTCCCAAAGGCATCTGGTTCTCCACCAGTGCCGGTTATGCATTCTCCACCTCGTCCTGTGACCGTTAAGGATCAGCAGGATTGGAAGATTCCACCATGTATTTCAAACTGGAAGAACCCTAAGGGGTATACAATACCTCTTGACAAACGTCTGGCTGCCGATGGTCGGGGGCTTCAGGATGTTCAAATTAATGACAATTTTGCTAAATTGTCAGAGGCCTTGTATGTTGCCGAGCAGAAGGCAAGAGAGGCTGTTGCAATGAGGTCAAAGGTTCAGAAAGAGATGATGATGAAAGAGAAGGAGAAGAAAGAGATGGAGCTGCGGGAGTTGGCCAGGAAGGCGAGATCAGAGAGAACTGGTGTTGCTCCTGCTGCTGCAGCGCAAATGCCTACTGAGAGGGGTGCGATCAACAGTGATGAGATGAGTGTTGATTATGAGCGTGTGAGAGATGCCCCCAAGGAGACAAAGGAGGAAAGGGAGGAGAGGTTGCAGAGGGAGAAAATCCGTGAGGAGAGGCGTCGTGAGAGGGAAAGGGAGAGAAGGCTGGAGGCGAAAGATGCTGCAATGGGGAAGAAGAGCAAAATTACTAGGGATAGAGATCGTGATATCAGTGAGAAAGTCGCTCTTGGAATGGCCTCCGCTGGAGCTGGGAGAGGGGGTGAAGTTATGTATGACCAGAGATTGTTCAACCAGGAGAAAGGGATGGACTCTGGTTTTGCCACCGATGATGCTTACAACTTATACGATAAGGGCCTATTTACTGCTCAATCTACTATGAATACTCTGTACAGACCAAAGAAGGATGCAGATGACGAGATGTATGGAGGTGCGGATGAACAGCTGGACAAGTTAATGAAAACTGATCGTTTTAAGCCTGACAAGGCATTTACAGGAACATCTGAAAGAACTGGCCAAAGAGATAGGCCAGTTGAGTTTGAAAGAGAGGCTGAAGAAGCTGATCCGTTTGGTTTGGATCAGTTTTTGACGGAGGTGAAGAAAGGGAAGAAGGCCATGGAGAAAGTTGGTACTGGAGGAACCCTGAAGGCTGGTGCGGGCTCGATGCGTGATGGTTTTGAAACATCTGGTAGATCACGCATTAATTTTGAGAAGGGCCGGTAAATGTGTTGAGAATTGGCAGAAGAAAGGTCCTTTGTTGGTTCTGCCGGTGTCATTTTAGTCCCATGTTATGGCTACTGTTTCCAGTGTATGATGTGTTGTGTTAGCTTGGATTTTATTCTCATATTAGCTGTCTTAAAATTCTGTGATCTCTTAATATAATTGCGCTACTTGGGGTTCATGTTCAATTTGTGGAGAAGATGGTAGACAGACCGTACATTCTGCTTTGCTGTTCCTCATGTTTTGATATCAGTGTCTTATTAGCATTTCTTTAATTACTGCTCGAAGTCTGAATAAGGTCATTTATCAATTTTGTGTATATGTTGGAATGTTCAGCTGTGTTTTGCCCCGTAGTTTCTGTTGCAGTCTGAACATTAGGGGGTCCCTGATTTAAAAGCCAGATAATTATCTTACTTGATATGCTATGGCCATGCATCCTTATTTGAGACAGACTGTAATGCTTGTTCTTTCAAGGATGTACTAAACCAGATCCAGGCGGTGTGTTCTGAGTTCGGGTTAGTTTGTTTTTTTAAAAGAAAAGTGCTATTGGTTCTCATTTATCAGAACAGTAAATAAACCGGTTTAGAAGATGCACAAAAAACTCGGGCCAAACAGGACTGCGTGTGGCATTTCTCCGTGGGAAAATTTCGCATATGCATCATTGTATTAAAATATTTTATAATTTACTCTATAACATTAATAAAATCAAAAAATACTGCAAGCTATATAATTTTATCTTAACATATACTACCTTCTAAAAATAATACCATCCAATCATTTTGTAACTGATCAATATGAATTCGACCTACTTTCACCTGTATCATTAATACCATTTCCTAAATGGAAGAAGAAATTCAAAAAACTAATCATAGGGTATCACATCAATGTCATTTGTTGAGTACTCACGATAGCATATGTTTCCTCTACATCCCATATCTCGGCGATAGTGGAACGCTTTTTTCAGATTAAAAGTTAGAAATTTGAAGGTACATGTCCCCATCTAAATTGGAGTTTCAATTAGATATACCATGTATTGGGGATGCCCACTTGGATTGTATGAAATGGCATGGAATAAACTTCTGAGTTAGATCCGTGAATGATCGATTCGACAACTAGGTTTTTGCCTTTCTAGGTTGGCAATTTCGAAAAGAGAAGGTCTGGACGGGTGATTTGGTTGCAATAAGAAATAACACCATTTTAGGGATTGAGGGTTAAATTAGATTCATGAATGATCGATTCGGCAGTTAGGTTTTGATTTTCTAGGTGGGCAATTTTGACGAGAGACGGTTTGGGCGGATGAATTGGTTGCAATAAGAAATAACGCCATTTTAGGGATTGAGGGTTAATTTAATCAGGTAAACGATGTGTTTAATTCCCTTAATTTAAGAGCACGTTTGTTGGAGTAAGTTTAGATACGTACATGAATATTCTGTTTGATTTGGTTATCTTTTCACATTTCTATTTTTACTTCGAAAAAACAGTATTTCTGGTTAAAAAAATGTTGAATAGTATATTCTAAATATTTATTAAAAGGTAGGCGCCTGGTAGAATTTCTACTTTTTTCATTGTCCAGTGGAGTCAATTATAATTAGGGAAAAATTCATATATAATTTCAAAATAAAGAAAAAATGTTTAAAATTTCAACAATCAGATTTTATTTATAAAATAATTAATCGAGCATATATTTTATTAATTAAATATAATCAGGTTGCAATTCTATACAATTTGGTCGTAAGTTATCAAATTAATTTGTTATGAATTATTTATCGATCACAATAAAAAAAATTATAGGTTACAAATTATATCAAGATTACAAATCAAAAATTTTATATGTCAATTTATTCATCGATCACAAATTTATCAAACTAATATGTTACATATTATTCATTAGTCACAAATTATAAATTTTATAAGTCACAACTTATTTTATGATTACAAAATATCTAATTCATGTTATTTGTTAGACACAAATTATCTATTTAATTGATCACACGTTATCCAATTTATTGATAACAATAAATCAAATAATTTGTGACCACCGTCGTCGTTGCCCCAAACACCTTAGAACCACACTGCCACCATCAACACAACCTCACCAGTATTGTAATTTATGACCACCACCACCACCATTACAACTTTATTAGAATCGTCACTTCACCAACATAACTAGCGTTGCCACCACCAGCTCACCACCAACAAATTAGATCCATAGTCGCCATCATCTCATCGTCGTTGTCGTCGCAACACTATCACTGCCATCATCACCACACAAGTACGATTTTCCACCAACACTCCTTCACAGACCTACCAACAAGAAACCATCATGGTCTCGACAAACTGACACGGAATCCATTTGCAAAACCACCACGATCTCATAACAAACCACCATTCTTCAACGCGATTGCTAATAACGATTCTAGCATATCTTCTTCGCCCAGCACCGTCACCGCTTTCGTACAGTGCTCGCGTCGATGATCTGCACCCAACTCCACTGTCGCTGCTATGCCATTGTGTGTTGTGGTTGCCGGCTGTGTAAAGTGGTCGCTTGATAATGAATAGGGATGTGTGTGGTGGATAGAGAGAGATGGGGGAATGAATTTTGGGTATGTGAATGAAATTTGGTTGAGATATATGGGTGGGTAGATTAATTTGATTTGATAATTTTAATATTAATATTTAAAAAATGAAAAACAAAAGATTTGATTTGTGAATAGTGAAACCTCTTTCCTGTTTTTAGAATACTACTAATCTTTAAAAATAAGGCGGGATGTAATTTCCACTTTTAATTATCCATGGATAGAATGTTAATGTTATAGCTTTTATTTTCCTTTTACTGAGTTTGATTTGGTCAGGGCTTGACTGGAAGTGATAAATCTTATGCTTTGGGTAAATTAGGTGGTAGATAGTTGGGCATTGTTGGTCGTTGTCTCACTGTTGTGAACAAATGTCGGTTATTTGTCAACCAACATGCTTCATTTTAAAGGTTAGGGAGTAAAAATGTTTTTTGAGCAAATGTTGGAGACCCTAACTTTAACTTTTCCTATGCTTTTGTTTTCATATTGTAGTAATTTAATTCATATTTTAATTAAAGTATAAATTGATCTACATTTACAAAATATAAAAGGGTTATCGTTAAGGTAGACATTGGTTTTCATTAGACATAACAAGGCGGAGTGCGGCAATAGAGAACTTTTTGACAGAAGGTGATTGGTGAGAGATGAGTTGCGATTTTACTTAGGTAGAGAGAGATTTTGGGTTGAGAGTTTATTAAACAATCCTGCTGCAAGAACATGTTCGATGACTGAATTTTAAACAGCAAGATACGTGTTATGTTTTCATTTGATAGGTAGAAAAAAAGACAATAACACTTGTCATCAAACCCTGTCAATTTCCTTTGTTTGAGTAGTTTTATTCTTTATTAAAAGTTGGTGATGGTTAGGAAATATGGGTTGTCAGTTGAATTCGCTCTATTTGGAGGATATTGGCCTCTTTATATATAGACTTTACTTGCGTGCATTAGGACATGGCATTGTGCCAACTTGAAGAGTCTATCGTCTAGCTTAGACGAACGAGCTAACTATCCTTTAAGGTACCTTCATATTACCTCTTCACTCCTCAGCCAACCTTATGACATTGACCACTCATCACAGGGTACTATTAAGCTAGCAACATTATGTCGCCCGCAACTCAATTGTATTATTGCTTGCGAGAATGCCCCAAGGCTATTGGTTCGATACAGACGTCATCACATGCTAGCTTGCCAAATGTCTACTAATTGTCAATATTTCGCATCATCGTGCTCTGATTGCATGCACTTCAAGAAATGTGACAAATTTCATACAATGATGTAGAAGGTCATACATAATCTCAGGTCAGATAAACATGGGGAAATCTCATTAGGACATCTGATTTTGACATTTGAATAGATGCTATTGGCACGCCCATACCTTCTATTTTTTTTATTTTTTTTTATTTTGCGTTTTCCTATTAGTTTTCAAAGGAAGAAATAGAGGATAAAATGAGTTTAAATGGGGGAAGAAATAGGAAAAATGGCGAGAATTACCTTCGATTAGTAGAGAAATTGGATGAAAATGACATTTTCTACAATCAAATGTGTAATTAAGGGTAAAAATGCAAAAAAAAAAAAAAAAAAGGTAAGTGATGCTACAAAAAATCGTACCTGTTGATTTTTCGAGCTTGAAGACTTTGGATGAACACGGTCGTAGTCATTCGGTACCTGAAATAAAGGCAACGAGGTGTATTCTCTTCGCCCTTCCGATGCTTAAGTCAGATAGAGAATTATGTGTGTCAGGCTATAAATTGGAGAATAATGAAAACGTACCTGAATAATGTCCAAGATTGGCATTTATAGAGACAAGTAGTATACTCCTAGTAGGATTATGCCAGTTGGACGTATTTATCCAATAGAGTCCTGTTTGGGAAGAATGTCTTATTCATAATAGAATTTTATGATGAATGATATCATAGTTGGCATAGAGTCCTTGGAGGGTAGGACTTCCCGTGAATTCGAGAGATTAAGGATTCATCTTGAATAATGTGATCGAGCAAGAGCACTCGAGGACTCAGTCGAGTAAAGGTTGGGAAAGCACAACCGTAGTCCTCGAGTAATACATCTCGATGACTTCCAAATCCCGAGGACTATATTACCAAGAAGAGAAATCCAGGCATGTGAGAGTTCTCGATGTATAGAAAATCCTCGAGGAATGCATTATCCTCAGGTCTTAGAATGGGCCGTATCACTGGCCCTCGTGCACTCCTTCATAGGGATCGTGCTCGATGAAGGGGTGTAATTGACCCAACAGTCCTCGTCGAGGTATGTGCAAGGACGAAATTATTGGGAGGTGATTTGACCGTTGCAGGGAGTGTCCAGATGCGCGACATGTGTTATGTCTTGAACGGCTAAAGATGGTGATCTTTGGCCTTCCGTATTTTGCTCCTATAAATACAGTAGTTTACCTTTTATTTTTTACTTTTTACCAACTGTAAACAAGCTCTATATAAGGTCGTGCTCGAGCGAAACACTTGAGGAACTTCTCCGGTATCACAAAGGTAAGGTTCGAGACTTTTAACCTATTTCATAAGTTAGGACTTTGGTTCATTAAGTAATGTCGAGTAGTGAGGGAGGTGACCGATCCAGTAGTTCGAGTAGTAGTGAGGATGTAGGTACCTCGATTGAACCCACGGCTATTTTCCTAAAGGCAACACCTGTGGCTCAGGTTAATATGATCTTCGAGTACCCCGATGAACCTTGTAAGTT